GCAAGACGTGCAGCAGCATCGCGGGTCGCCCACTTGGAGCGAGCAGCAGAGTCAGCATCAGCAGGCGGGGCAGGGACAGCGCCAGAGACAAAGTCAAAGAGAGAGACCTCATCTATCGCATCACACAGTAAGTACAGCTGCAGGTCTTCAATCCAGACGGCAAAGTCAATGGCCCTCCCCTCAGCGTCAAAAGTAAGAACATTGGGGGTGGCCATGGCAGCAGCTGAAAGTCTCACCGGGCTAGGAGAGTCGGGTAGGACAGCAGCAGGCAGCTCGGGCTGGGTCGGGCGGCTCGGGCGGCTCGGGCGGCTCGGGCGGCTCGGGCGGCTCGGGTAGCTCGGGTACCGGGCGGTTCGGCTGCTGCTGGTCGGCTCGGCTGCTGGTGGGCGACTCGGCTGCTGCAGGGCGGCTCGGCTGCTGCTGGGCGGCTCGGCTGCTGCTGGGCGGCGCGGCTGCTGCTGGGCGGCTCAGCTGCTGCTGGGCGGCTCGGTTGCTGCTGGGCGGCTCGGCGGGGCCGTCAGGGTGCAGCTGCGGGGCCGGGACAGGGGACGGCGGGGCCGTCAGGGTGCAGCGGCGGGGCCGGGGCAGGGGACGGCGGGGCCGTCAGGGTGCAGCGGCGGGGCCGGGACAGGGGACGGCGGAGCCGTCAGGTGGCGGGCCAGCAGGCGAGGTGGCGAGCCGTCAGGTGAGGCGGCGGGGCCGTCAGGTCAGGTGGCGGGCCAGCAGGTGAGGCGGCGGGGCCGTCAGGTCAGGTGGCGGGCCAGCGGGTGAGGCGGCGGGCCGTCAGGTGAGGTGGCGGGCCAGCAGGTGAGGCGGCGGGCCGTCAGGTGAGGCGGCGGGGCCGTCAGGTCAGGTGGCGGGCCAGTAGGTGAGGCGGCGGGCCGTCAGGTGAGGCGGCGGGGCCGTCAGGTAAGGTGGCGGGCCAGCAGGTGAGACGGTGGGCCGTCAGGTGAGGCGGGGGGGCCGTCTGGTGAGGTGGCGGGCCAGAAGTCGAGGCGGCGGGCCGTCAGGTGAGGCGGCGGCCGTCAGGTAAGGCGGCTGCGGGGCCGACAGAGGTGCAGCGGGGGGGGCCTGCTGTAGCGACGAAGAGGCCGCGCGGCCGTCTTGAGGGCGGCGCGGCGCGGCAGAGCCGAGAGGGCGGCGCGGCGCGGCTGTAAGGGCCGCGCGAAGTGGGGCCTGGGCCGCGCGCGCGAAAAAAAAAAATGAGTCGCGCGCGCGACTCTCGGGGCGCCACAAGGGCAGATCGACGCGCACTAGGGGGAGCGCGCCTCGGGGAGAATAGGGCGCGCTCCGGGCAGGAAAAAAAATCGTGGGTGGGCCCAAAGAACGGTCCTTAGGAGGGACCCGCTCTATACCATGTGAAACTAACTGAACAGGAATGAATTGACTAAGTCAGAGTTGGGTACAAATACAAACCTAGCAAACTGTACCCCATATGTGCTACCCCACTATAGCCTACAAACATGCATCAGCTATAATAATCTGACACCTATCTCTAGTGGCGCCTATCTCTAGGGGCGCCTATCTCTATGGGCGCCTATCTCTAGGGGCGCCTATCTCTAGGGGCGCCTATCTCTAGGAGCGCCTATCTCTAGGGGCGCATATCTCTATGGGCGCCAATCTCTAAGGGCACCTATCTCTATGGGCGCCTATCTCTATGGGCGCCTATCTCTAGGGGCGGCTATCTCTATGGGCGTCTATCTCAAGGGGCGCCTATCTCTAGGGGTGCCTATCTCTATGGGCGCCTATCTCTATGGGCGCCTATCTCTATGGGCGCCTATCTCTAGGGGTGCCTATCTCTATGGGCGCCTATCTCTAGGGGCGCCTATCTCTAGGGGCGCCTATCTCTAGGAGCGCCTATCTCTAGGGGCGCATATCTCTATGGGCGCCAATCTCTAGGGGCACCTATCTCTATGGGTGCCTATCTCTATGGGCGCCTATCTCTATGGGTGCCTATCTCTAGAGGCGCCTATCTCTATGGGCGCCTATCTCTATGGGCGCCTATCTCTAGGGGCGCCTATCACCATGGGCGCCTATCTCTATGGGCGCCTATCTCTATGGGCGCCTATCTCTAGGGGCGCCTATCTCTATGGGCGCCTATCTCTATGGGCGCCTATCTCTATGGGCGCCTATCTCTATGGGCGCCTATCTCTATGGGCGCCTATGTCTATGGGCGCCTATCTCTATGGGCGCCTATCTCTATGGGCGCCTATCTCTATGGGAGCCTATCTCTATGGGCGCCTATCTCTAGGGGTGCCTATCTCTGTGGGCGCCTATCTCTAGGGGCGCCTATCTCTAGTGGCGCCTATCTCTAGGGGCGCCTATCTCTAGGAGCGCCTATCTCTAGGGGCGCATATCTCTATGGGCGCCAATCTCTAGGGGCACCTTTCTCTATGGGCGCCTATCTCTGTGGGCGCCTATCTCTAGGGGCGGCTATCTCTATGGGCGTCTATCTCAAGGGGCGTCTATCTCTAGGGGTGCCTATCTCCATGGGCGCCTATCTCTATGGGCGCCTCTCTTTAGGGGCGCCAATCTCTAGAGGCGCCTATCTCTATGGTCGCCCATCTCTAGGGGCGCCTACCTCTAGGGGCACCTATCTCTAGGGGCGCCTATCTCCAGGGGCGCCTATCTTTAAGGGCGCCTATCTCTAGGGGTGCCTATCTCTAGGGGCGGCTATCTCTAGGGGCACCTATCTCTATGGGCGCCTATCTCTAGGGGCGCCTATCTCTATGGGCGGCTATCTCTTTGGGCGCCTATCTCTATGGGCGTCTATCTCTATGGGCACCTATCTCTAGGGGCGCCTATCTCTAGAGGCGCCTATCTCTAGGGGCGCCTATCTCTATGGGCGCCTATCTCAAGGGGCGCCTATCTCTAGGGGCGCCTATCTCTAGGGGCGCCTATCTCTAGGGGCGCATATCTCTATGGGCGCCTATCTCTAGGGGCGCCTATCTCTATGAGCGCCTATCTCTATGGGCGCCTATCTCTAGGGGCGCCTATCTCTTTGGGCGCCTATCTCTATGGGCGTCTTTCTCTAGGGGCGCCTATCTCTAGGGGCGCCTATCTCTATGGGCGCCTATCTCTATGGGTGCCTATCTCTAGGGGCGCCTATCTCTATGGGCGCCTATCTTTAGCGTCGCCTATCTCTAGGGGCGCCTATCTCTATGGGCGCCTATCTCTATGGGCGCCTATCTTTAGCGGCGCCTATCTTTAGGGGCGCCTATCTCTAGGGGCGCCTATCTCTATGAGCGCCTATCTCTATGGGCGCCTATCTCTATGGGCGCCTATCTCTTTGGGCGCCTATCTCTATGGGCGTCTATCTCTAGGGGCGCCTATCTCTAGGGGCGCCTATCTCTATGGGCGCCTATCTCTATGGGCGCCTATCTCTAGGGGCGCCTATCTCTAGGGGCGCCTATCTCTATGGGCGCCTATCTCTATGGGCGCCTATCTCTATGGGCGCCTATCTCTATGGGCGCCTATCTCTATGGGCGCCTATCTCTATGGGCGCCTATCTCTATGGGCGCCTATCTCTATTGGCGCCTATCTCTATGGGCGCCTATCTCTATGGGCGCCTATCTCTAGGGGTGCCTATCTCTGTGGGCGCCTATCTCTAGGGGCGCCTATCTCTAGTGGCGCCTATCTCTAGGGGCGCCTATCTCTAGGAGCGCCTATCCTAGGGGCGCATATCTCTATGGGCCCCAATCTCTAGGGGCACCTATCTCTATGGGCGCCTATCTCTATGGGCACCTATCTCTAGGGGCGGCTATCTCTATGGGCGTCTATCTCAAGGGGCGCCTATCTCTAGGGGTGCCTATCTCCATGGGCACCTATCTCTATGGGCGCCTCTCTTTAGGGGCGCCAATCTCTAGAGGCGCCTATCTCTATGGTCGCCCATCTCTAGGGGCGCCTACCTCTAGGGGCACCTATCTCTAGGGGCGCCTATCTCCAGGGGCGCCTATCTCTAGGGGTGCCTATCTCTAGGGGCGGCTATTTTTAGGGGCACCTATCTCTATGGGCGCCTATCTCTAGGGGCGCCTATCTCTATGGGCGGCTATCTCTTTGGGCGCCTATCTCTAGGGGCGCCTATCTCTAGTGGCGCCTATCTCTAGGGGCGCCTATCTCTATGGGCGCCTATCTCAAGGGGCGCCTATCTCTAGGGGCGCCTATCTCTAGGGGCGCCTATCTCTAGGGGCGCATATCTCTATGGGCGCCTATCTCTAGGGGCGCCTATCTCTATGAGCGCCTATCTCTATGGGCGCCTATCTCTATGGGCGCCTATCTCTTTGGGCGCCTATCTCTATGGGCGTCTATCTCTAGGGGCGCCTATCTCTAGGGGCGCCTATCTCTATGGGCGCCTATCTCTATGGGCGCCTATCTCTAGGGGCGCCTATCTCTATGGGCGCCTATCTTTAGCGTCGCCTATCTCTAGGGGCGCCTATCTCTATGGGCGCCTATCTCTATGGGCGCCTATCTTTAGCGGCGCCTATCTTTAGGGGCGCCTATCTCTAGGGGCGCCTATTTCTATGAGCGCCTATCTCTATGGGCGCCTATCTCTATGGGCGCCTATCTCTTTGGGCGCCTATCTCTATGGGCGTCTATCTCTAGGGGCGCCTATCTCTAGGGGCGCCTATCTCTATGGGCGCCTATCTCTATGGGCGCCTATCTCTAGGGGCGTCTATCTCTAGGGGCGCCTATCTCTATGGGCGCCTATCTCTATGGGCGCCTATCTCTATGGGCGCCTATCTCTATGGGCGCCTATCTCTATGGGCGCCTATCTCTATGGGCGCCTATCTCTATGGGCGCCTATCTCTATAGGCGCCTATCTCTATGGGCGCCTATCTCTATAGGCGCCTATCTCTAGGGGTGCCTATCTCTGTGGGCGCCTATCTCTAGGGGCGCCTATCTCTAGTGGCGCCTATCTCTAGGGGCGCCTATCTCTAGGAGCGCCTATCTCTAGGGGCGCATATCTCTATGGGCGCCAATCTCTAGGGGCACCTATCTCTATGGGCGCCTATCTCTATGGGCGCCTATCTCTAGGGGCGGCTATCTCTATGGGCGTGTATCTCAAGGGGCGCCTATCTCTAGGGGTGCCTATCTCTATGGGCGCCTATCTCTATGGGCGCCTCTCTTTAGGGGCGCCAATCTCTAGAGGCGCCTATCTCTATGGTCGCCCATCTCTAGGGGCGCCTACCTCTAGGGGCACCTATCTCTAGGGGCGCCTATCTCCAGGGGCGCCTATCTTTAAGGGCGCCTATCTCTAGGGGTGCCTATCTCTAGGGGCGGCTATCTCTAGGGGCACCTATCTCTATGGGTGCCTATCTCTAGGGGCGCCTATCTCTATGGGCGGCTATCTCTTTGGGCGCCTATCTCTATGGGCGCCTATCTCTAGGGGCGCCAATCTCTTGGGGCGCCTATCTCTATGGGCGCCTATCTCTATGGGCGCCTATCTCTATGGGCGCCTATCTCTAGGGGTGCCTATCTCTATGGGGCGCCTATCTCTGTGGGCGCTTATCTCTATGGGTGCCTATCTCTGGGGGCGCCTATCTCTATGGGCGCCTATCTCTATGGGCGCCTATCTCTAGGAGCGCCTATCTCTAGGGGCGCCTATCTCTAGCGGCGGCCTATCTCTATGGGCGCCTATCTCTAGGGGCGCCTATCTCTAAGGGCGCCAATCTCTAGGGGCACGTATCTCTAGGGGCGTCTATCCCGAGGGGCGCCTATCTCTAGGGGCGCCTATCTCTAGGGGTGCCTATCTCTAGGGGCGGCTATCTCTAGGGGCGCATATCTCTATGGGCGCCTATCTCTAGGGGCGCCTATCTCAATAGGCGACTATCTCTTTGGGCGCCTATCTCTATGGGCGCCTATCTCTATGGGCGCCTATCTCTTGGGGCGCCTATCTCTAGGGCGCCGATCTTTAGCGGCGCCTATCTCTAGGGGCGCCTATCACTAGGGGCGCCTATCTCTATGTGCGCCTATCTCTATGGGCGCCTCTCTTTAGGGGCGCCAATCTCTAGAGGTGCCTATCCCTTTGGGCGCCTATCTCTATGGGCGCCTATCTCTAGGGGCGCCTATCTCTAAGGGCGCCAATCTCTAGGGGCACGTATCTCTAGGGGCGTCTATCCCGAGGGGCGCCTATCTCTAGGGGCGCCTATCTCTAGGGGTGCCTATCTCTAGGGGCGGCTATCTCTAGGGGCGCATATCTCTATGGGCGCCTATCTCTAGGGGCGCCTATCTCAATAGGCGACTATCTCTTTGGGCGCCTATCTCTATGGGCGCCTATCTCTATGGGCGCCTATCTCTTGGGGCGCCTATCTCTAGGGCGCCGATCTTTAGCGGCGCCTATCTCTAGGGGCGCCTATCACTAGGGGCGCCTATCTCTATGTGCGCCTATCTCTATGGGCGCCTCTCTTTAGGGGCGCCAATCTCTAGAGGTGCCTATCCCTTTGGGCGCCTATCTCTATGGGCGCCTATCTCTAGGGGCGCCTATCTCTATGGGCGCCTATCTCTATGGGCGCCTATCTCTAGGGGCGCCTATCTCTATGGGCGTCTATCTCAAGGGGCGCCTATCTCTAGGGGCGCCTATCTCTACGGGCGCCTATCTCTATGGGCGCCTCTCTTTAGGGGCGCCAATCTCTAGAGGTGCCTATCTCTATGGTCGCCCATCTCTAGGGGCGCCTACCTCTAGGGGCACCTATCTCCAGGGGCGCCTATCTTTAGGGGCGCCAATCTCTAGTTGCGCCTATCTCTAGGGGTGCCTTTCTCTAGGGGCGGCTATCTCTAGGGGCACCTATCTCTAGGGCCGCCTATCTCCAGGGGCGCCTATCTATAGGGGCGCCTATCTCTAGGGGTGCCTATCTCTAGGGGCGGCTATCTCTAGGGGCGCCTATCTCTATGGGCGCCTATCTCTTTGGGCGCCTATCTCTAGGGGCGCCTATCTCTAGGGGCGCATATCTCTATGGGCGCCTATCTCTAGGGGCGCCTATCTCTATGGGCGCCTATCTCTATGGGCGCCTATCTCTATGGGCGCCTACCTCTATGGGCGCCTATCTCTTTGGGCGCCTACCTCTATGGGCGCCTATCTCTAGGGGCGCCTATCTCTAGGGGTGCCTATCTCTATGGGCGCCTATCTCTATGGGCGCCTATCTCTAGGGGCGCCTATCTCTATGGGCGTCTATCTCTAGCAGCGCCCATCTCTATAGGCGCCTATCTCTAGGGGCGCCTATCTCTAGGGGCGCCTATCTCTATGTGCGCCTATCTCTATGGCCGCCTCTCTTTAGGGGCGCCAATCTCTAGAGGCGCTTATCTTTTTGGGCACCTATCTGTATGGGCGCTTATCTCTAGGGGCGCCTATCTCTAGGGGCGCCTATCTCCAGGGGCGCCTATCTCTAGGGGCGCCTATATCTAGGGGTGCCTATCGCTATGGGCGGCTATCTCTAGGGGCGCCTATCTCTATGGGCGCCTATCTCTAGGGGCTCCTATCTCTATGGGCACCTATCTCTTTGGGCGCCTATCTCTATGGGCCCCTATCTCTAGGGGCGCCTATCTCTAGGGGCGCCTATCTCTATGGGCGTCTATCTCTATGGGCGCCTATCTCTAGGGGCGCCTATCTCTATGGGTGTTTATCTCTAAGGGCGCCTATCTCTAGGGGCGCCTATCTCTATGGGCGCCTATCTCTATGGGCGCGTCTCTTTAGGGGCGCAGATCTCTAGAGGCGCCTATCTCTATGGGCGCCCATCTCTAGGGGCGCCTACCTCTAGGGGCACCTATCTCTAGAGGCGCCTATCTCCAGGGACGCATATCTCTAGGGGCGCCTATCTCTAGGGGTGCCTATCTCTAGGGGCGGCTATCTCTAGGGGCGCCTATCTCTATGGGCGCCTATCTCTAGGGGCGCCTATCTCTATGGGCGCCTATCTCTTTGGGCGCCTATCTCTATGGGCGCCTATCTCTAGGGGCGCCTATCTCTAGGGGCGCCAATCTCTATGGGCGCCTATCTCTATGGGCGCGTATCTCTATGGGCGCCTATCTCTATGGGCGCTTATCTCTATGGGCGCCTATCTCTATGAGCGTCTATCTCTATGGGCACCTATCTCTAGGGGCGCCTATCTCTAGTGGCGCCTATCTCTAGGGGCGCCTATCTCTATGGGCGCCTATCTCAAGGGGCGCCTATCTCTAGGGGCGCCTATCTCTAGGGGCGCCTATCTCTAGGGGCGCATATCTCTATGGGCGCCTATCTCTAGGGGCGCCTATCTCTATGAGCGCCTATCTCTATGGGCGCCTATCTCTATGGGTGCCTATCTCTTTGGGCGCCTATCTCTATGGGCGTCTATCTCTAGGGGCGCCTATCTCTAGGGGTGCCTATCTCTAGGGGCGGCTATCTCTAGGGGCGCCTATCTCTATGGGCGCCTATCTCTAGGGGCGCCTATCTCTATGGGCGCCTATCTCTATGAGCGCCTATCTCTAGGGGCGCCTATCTCTATGGGCGCCTATCTTTAGCGGCGCCTATCTCTAAGGGCGCCTATCTCTAGGGGCGCTCATCTCTATGTGCGCCTATCTCTATGGGCGCCAATCTCTAGAGGCGCCTATCTCTTTGGGCGCCTATCTCTATGGGCGCCTATCTCTAGGGGCGCCTATCTCTAGGGGCGCCTATCTCTATGGGCGCATATCTCTATGGGCGCCTATCTCTAGGGGCGCCTATCTCTATGGGCGTCTATCTCTAGGGGCGCCTATCTCTAGGGGCACATATCTCTATAGGCGCCTATCTCTATGGGCGCCTCTCTTTAGGGGCGCCAATTTCTAGAGGCGCCAATCTCTATGGGCGCCCATCTCTAGGGGCGCCTACCTCTAGGGGCACCTATCTCTAGTGGCGCCTATCTCCAGGGGCGCCTATCTCTAGGGGCGCCTATCTCTAGGGATGCCTATCTCTAGGGGCGGCTATCTCTAGGGGCGCCTATCTCTATGGGCGCCTATCTCTAGGGGCGCCTATCTCTATGGGCGCCTATCTCTTTGGGCGCCTATCTCTATGGGCGCATATCTCTAGGGGCGCCTATCTCTAGGGGCGCCTATCTCTATGGGCGCCTATCTCTATGGGCGCATATCTCTATGGGCGTCTATCTCTACGGGCGCCTATCTCTATGGGCGCCTATCTCTAGGGGCGCCTATCTCTAGTGGCGCCTATCTCTATGGGCGCCTATCTCTAGGGGCGCCTATCTCTATGGGCGCCTATCTCTATGGGCGCCTATCTCTATGGGCGCCTATCTCTATGGGTGCCTATCTCTTTGGGCGCCTATCTGTATGGGCGCCTATCTCTAGGGGCGCCTATCTCTAGGGGCGCCTATCTCTATGGGCGCCTATCTCTATGGGCGCCTATCTCTAGGGGCGCCTATCTCTATGGGCGCCTATCTTTAGCGGCGCCTATCCCTAGGGGCGCCTATCTCTAGTGGCGCCTATCTCTATGGGCGCCTATCTCTAGGGGCGCCTATCTCTATGGGCGTCTATCTCTAGGGGCGCCTATCTCTAGGGGCACATATCTCTATAGGCGCCTATCTCTATGGGCGCCTCTCTTTAGGGGCGCCAATTTCTAGAGGCGCCTATCTCTATGGGCGCCCATCTCTAGGGGCGCCTACCTCTAGGGGCACCTATCTCTAGTGGCGCCTATCTCCAGGGGCGCCTATCTCTAGGGGCGCCTATCTCTAGGGATGCCTATCTCTAGGGGCGGCTATCTCTAGGGGCGCCTATCTCTATGGGCCCCTATCTCTAGGGGCGCCTATCTCTATGGGCGCCTATCTCTTTGGGCGCCTATCTCTATGGGCGCCTATCTCTAGGGGCGCCTATCTCTAGGGGCGCCTATCTCTATGGGCGCCTATCTCTATGGGCGCATATCTCTATGGGCGCCTATCTCTACGGGCGCCTATCTCTATGGGCGCCTATCTCTAGGGGAGCCTATCTCTAGTGGCGCCTATCTCTATGGGCGCCTATCTCTAGGGGCGCCTATCTCTATGGGCGCCTATCTCTATGGGCGCCTATCTCTATGGGCGCCTATCTCTATGGGAGCCTATCTCTTTGGGCACCTATCTCTATGGGCGCCTATCTCTAGGGGTGCCTATCTCTAGGGGCGCCTATCTCTATGGGCGCCCATCTCTATGGGCGCCTATCTCTAGGGGCGCCTATCTCTATGGGCGCCTATCTTTAGCGGCGCCTATCTCTATAGGCGCCTATCTCTAGGGGCGCCTATCTCTAGTGGCGCCTATCTCTATGGGCGCCTATCTCTAGGGGCGCCTATCTCTATGGGCTCCTATCTCTATGGGCGCCTATCTCTATGGGCGCCTATCCCTATGGGTGCCTATCTCTTTGGGCGCCTATCTCTATGGGCGCCTATCTCTATGGGCGCCTATCCCTATGGGTGCCTATCTCTTTGGGCGCCTATCTCTATGGGCGCCTATCTCTAGGGGCGCCTATCTCTATGGGCGCCTATCTTTAGCGGCGCCTATCTCTAGGGGCGCCTATCTCTAGTGGCGCCTATCTCTATGGGCACCTATCTCTAGGGGCGCCTATCTCTATGGGCGCCTATCTCTAGGGGCGCCTATCTCTATGGGCGCCTATCTCTAGGGGCGCCTATCTCTAGGGGCGCCTATCTCTATGGGCGCCTATCTCTATGGGCGCCTATCTCTAGGGGCGCCTATCTCTATGGGCGCCTATCTTTAGCGGCGCCTATCTCTATAGGCGCCTATCTCTAGGGGCGCTTATCTCTATGTGCGCCTATCTCTATGGGCGCCTCTCTTTAGGGGCGCCAATCTCTAGAGGCGCCTATCTCTATGGGCGCCAATCTCTATGGGCGCCTATCTCTATGTGCGCCTATCTCTAGGGGCGCCTATCTCTATGGGCGCCTATCTCTATGGGCGCCTATCTCTAGGGGCGCCTATCTCTATGGGCGCCTATCTCTATGGGCGCCTATCTCTATGGGCGCCTATCTCTACGGGCGCCTATCTCTATGGGCGCCTATCTCTAGGGGCGCCTATCTCTAGTGGCGCCTATCTCTATGGGCGCCTATCTCTAGGGGCGCCTATCTCTATGGGCGCCTATCTCTATGGGCGCCTATCTCTATGGGCGCCTCTCTCTATGGGTGCCTATCTCTTTGGGCGCCTATCTCTATGGGCGCCTATCTCTAGGGGTGCCTATCTCTAGGGGCGCCTATCTCTATGGGCGCCCATCTCTATGGGCGCCTATCTCTAGGGGCGCCTATCTCTATGGGCGCCTATCTTTAGCGGCGCCTATCTCTATAGGCGCCTATCTCTAGGGGCGCCTATCTCTAGTGGCGCCTATCTCTATGGGCGCCTATCTCTAGGGGCGCCTATCTCTATGGGCGCCTATCTCTATGGGCGCCTATCTCTATGGGCGCCTATCCCTATGGGTGCCTATCTCTTTGGGCGCCTATCTCTATGGGCGCCTATCTCTATGGGCGCCTATCCCTATGGGTGCCTATCTCTTTGGGCGCCTATCTCTATGGGCGCCTATCTCTAGGGGCGCCTATCTCTAGGGGCGCCTATCTCTATGGGCGCCTATCTCTAAGGGCGCCTATCTCTAGGGGCGCCTATCTCTATGGGCGCCTATCTTTAGCGGCGCCTATCTCTAGGGGCGCCTATCTCTAGTGGCGCCTATCTCTATGGGCACCTATCTCTAGGGGCGCCTATCTCTATGGGCGCCTATCTCTATGGGCGCCTATCTCTATGGGTGCCTATCTCTTTGGGCGCCTATCTCTATGGGCGCCTATCTCTAGGGGCGCCTATCTCTAGGGGCGCCTATCTCTATGGGCGCCTATCTCTATGGGCGCCTATCTCTAGGGGCGCCTATCTCTATGGGCGCCTATCTTTAGCGGCGCCTATCTCTATAGGCGCCTATCTCTAGGGGCGCTTATCTCTATGTGCGCCTATCTCTATGGGCGCCTCTCTTTAGGGGCGCCAATCTCTAGAGGCGCCTATCTCTTTGGGCGCCAATCTCTATGGGCGCCTATCTCTAGGGGCGCCTATCTCTATGGGCGCCTATCTCTATGGGCGCCTATCCCTATAGGTGCCTATCTCTTTGGGCGCCTATCTCTATGGGCGCCTATCTCTATCGGCGCCTATCCCTATGGGTGCCTATCTCTTTGGGCGCCTATCTCTATGGGCGCCTATCTCTAGGGGCGCCTATCTCTATGGGCGCCTATCTCTATGGGCACCTATCTCTAGGGGCGCCTATCTCTATGGGCGCCTATCTCTATGGGCGCCTATCTCTAGGGGCGCCTATCTCTATTGGCGCCTATCTCTAGGGGCGCCTATCTCTATTGGCGCCTATCTCTAGGGGCGCCTATCTCTATGGGCGCCTATCTCTAGGGGCGCCTATCTCTATTGGCGCCTATCTCTATGGGCGCCTATCTCTATGGGCGCCTATCTCTATGGGCGCCTATCTCTATGGGCGCCTATCTCTATGGGCGCCTATCTCTAGGGGCGCCTATCTCTAAGGGCGCCTATCTCTATGGGCGCCTATCTCTATGGGCGCCTATCTCTAGGGGCGCCTATCTCTAGGGGCGCCTATCTCTAGGGGCGCCTATCTCTAGGGGCGCCTATCTCTATGGGCGCCTATCTATATGGGCGCCTATCTCTAGGGGCGCATATCTCTAGGGGTGCCTATCGCTAGGGGCGGCTATCTCTAGGGGCGGCTATCTCTAGAGCGCCTATCTCTATGGGCGCCTATCTCTTTGGGCGCCTATCTCTATGGGCGCCTATCTCTAGGGGCGCCTATCTCTAGGGGCGCCTGTCTCTATGGGCGCCTACCTCTATGGGCGCCTATCTCTAGGGGCGCCTATTTCTATGGGCGCCTATCTCTAGGGGCGCCTATCTCTAGGGGTACCAATCTCTAGAGGCGGGGTGATGGAAAGCGGGAGAATTGGGCGGGGTGATGGAAAGCGGGAGAATGGAGCGGGGTGGTGGAAAGCGGGAGAATGGGGCGGGGTGATGGAAAGAGGGAGAATGAGGAGGGGTGATGGAAAGAGGGAGAATTGGGCGGGGTGATGGAAAGCGGGAGAATGGAGCAGGGTGATGGAAAGAGGGAGAATGGGGCGGGGTGATGGAAAGCGGGAGAATGGGGCGGGGTGATGGAAAGAGGGAGAATGGGGCGGGGTGATGGAAAGCGGGATAATGGGGCGGGGTTATGGAAAGAGGGAGAATGAGGCGGGGTGATGGAAAGAGGGAGAATGGGGCGGGGTGATGGAAAGCGGGAGAATGAGGCGGGGTGATGGAAAGAGGGAGAATGGGGAGGGGTGATGGAAAGAGGGAGAATTGGGCGGGGTGATGGAAAGCGGGAGAATGGAGCGGGGTGATGGAACAAGGGAAAATGGGGCGGGGTGATGGAATGCGGGAAAATGGGGCGGGGTGATGGAAAGAGGGAGAATGGGGCGGGGTGATGGAAAGCGGGAGAATGGGGCAGGGTGATGGAAAGCGGGAGAATGGGGCTGGGTGATGGAAAGCGGGAGAATGGGGCGGGGTGATGAAAAGCGGGAGAATGGGGCGGGGTGATGGAAAGCGGGAGAATGGGGCGGGGTGATGGAAAGCGGGAGAATGGGGCGGGGTGATGGAAATCGGGAAAATGGGGCGGGGTGATGGAAAGCGGGAGAATGGGGCGGGGTGATGGAAAGAGGGAGAATGGGCCGGGGTGATGGAAGGCGGGAGAATGGGGCGGGGTGATGGAAAGGGGAAGAATTGGGCAGGGTGATGGAAAGATGGAGAATGGGGCGGGGTGATGGAAGGCGGGAGAATGGGGCGGGGTGATGGAAAGAGGGAGAATGGGGCGGGGTGATAGAAAGCAGGAGAATGGGACGGGGTGATGGAAAGAGGGAGAATGGGGAGGGGTGATGGAAAGAGTGAGAATGGGGTGGCGTGATGGAAAGCGGGAGAATGGGGCAGGGTGTTGGAAAGCGGGAGAATGGGGCGGGGTGATGGAAATCGAGAGAATGGGGCGGGGTGATGGAAAGCGGAGAATGGGGCGGGGTGATGGAAATCGGGAGAATGGGGCGGGGTGATGGAAAGCGGGAGAATAAGGCGGGGTGATGGAAAGCGAGAGAATGGGGCGGGGTGATGGAAAACGGGAGAATGGGATGGGGTGATGGAAAGTGGGAGAATTGGGCGGGGTGATGGATAGAGGGAGAATGGGGCGGGGTGATGGAAAGCGGGAGACTGGGGCGGGGTGATGGAAAGCGGGAGAATGGGGTGGGGTGATGGAAAGCGTGAGAATGGGGCGGGGTGATGGAAAGAGGGAGAATGGGGCGGGGTGATGGAAGGCGGGAGAATGGGGCGGGGTGATGGAAAGCGGGAGAATTGGGCGGGGTGATGGAAAGCGGGAGAATGGGGCGGGGTGATGAAAGGCAGGAGAATGGGGCGGGGTGATGGAAAGAGGGAGAATGGAGAGGGGTGATAGAAAGAGGGAGAATTGGGCGGGGTGATGGAAAGCGGGAGAATGGAGCGGGGTGATGGAAAGCGGGAGAATGGGGCGGGGTGATGGAAAGCGGGAGAATGGGGCGGGGTGATGGAAAGAGGGAAAATGGGGCTTGGTGATGGAAAGCGGGAGAATTGGGCGGGGTGATGGAAAGCGGGAGAATGGGGCGGGGTGATGGAAAGAGGGAGAATGGGGCGGGGTGATGGAAAGCGGGAGAATGAGGCGGGGTGATGGAAAGAGGGAGAATGGGGCGGAGTGATGGAAAGAGGGAGAATGGGGCGGGGTGATGGAAAGCGGGAGAATGGGGCGGGGTGATGGAAAGAGGGAGAATGGGGAGGGGTGATCGAAAGAGGTAGAATTGGGCGGGGTGATGGAAAGCGGGAGAATGGAGCGGGGTGATGGAACGAGGGAAAATGGGGCGGGGTGATGGAATGCGGGAGAATGGGGCGGGGTGATGGAAAGAGGGAGAATGGGGCTGGGTGATGGAAAGCGGGAGAATGGGGCGGGGTGATGGAAAGCAGGAGAATGGGGCGGGGTGATGGAAAGCGGGAGAATGGGGCGGGGTGATGGAAAGCGGGAGAATGGGGCGGGGTGATGGAAATCGGGAAAATGGGGCGGGGTGATGGAAAGCGGGAGAATGGGGCGGGGTGATGGAAAGAGGGAGAATGGGGCGGGGTGATGGAAGGCAGGAGAAAGGGGCGGGGTGATAGAAAGGGGGATAATTAGGCAGGGTGATGGAAAGATGGAGAATGGGGCGGGGTGATGGAAGGCGGGAGAATGGGGCGGGGTGATGGAAAGAGGGAGAATGGGGCGGGGTGATAGAAAGCAGGAGAATGGGGCGAGGTGATTGAAAGAGGGAGAATGGGGAGGGGTGATGGAAAGAGTGAGAATGGGGTGGGGTGATGGAAAGCGGGAGAATGGGGCAGGGTGTTGGAAAGCGGGAGAATGGAGCGGGGTGATGGAAAGCGGGAGAATGGGGCGGGGTGATGGAAAGAGGGAGAATGGGGCCGGGTGATGGAAAGAGGGAGAATGGGGCGGGGTGATGGAAAGCGGGAGAATGGGGCGGGGTGATGGAAAGAGGGAGAATGGGGAGGGGTGATGGAAAGAGGGAGAATTGGGCGGGGTGATGGAAAGCGGGAGAATGGAGCGGGGTGATGGAAAGAGGGAAAATGGGGCGGGGTGATGGAAAGCGGGAGAATGGGGCGGGGTGATGGAAAGAGGGAGAATGGGGCGGGGTGATGGAAAGCGGGAGAATGGGGCGGGGTGATGGAAAGCGGGAGAATGGGGCGGGGTGATGGAAAGCGGGAGAATGGAGCGGGGTGATGGAAAGCGGGAGAATGGGGCGGAGTGATGGAAAGCGGGAGAATGGGGCGGGGTGATGGAAAGCGGGAGAATGGGGCGGGGTGATGGAAATCGGGAAAATGGGGCGGGGTGATGGAAAGCGAGAGAATGGGGCGGGGTGATGGAAAGAGGGAGAATGGGGCGGGGTGATGGATGGCGGGAGAATGGGGCGGGGTGATGGAAAGCGGGAGAATGGGGCGGGGTGATGGAAAGCGGGAGAATGGGGCGGGGTGATGGAAAGCGGGAGAATGGGGCGGGGTGATGGAAATCGGGAAAATGGGGCGGGGTGATGGAAAGCGGGAGAATGGGGCGGGGTGATGGAAAGAGGGAGAATGGGGCGGGGTGATGGAAGGCAGGAGAATGGGGCGGGGTGATGGAAAGGGGGATAATTAGGCAGGGTGATGGAAAGATGGAGAATGGGGCGGGGTGATGGAAGGCGGGAGAATGGGGCGGGGTGATGGAAAGAGGGAGAATGGGGCGGGGTGATAGAAAGCAGGAGAATGGGGCGGGGTGATTGAAAGAGGGAGAATGGGGAGGGGTGATGGAAAGAGTGAGAATGGGGTGGGGTGATGGAAAGCGGGAGAATGGGGCAGGGTGATGGAAAGCGGGAGAATGGAGCGGGGTGATGGAAAGCGGGAGAATGGGGCGGGGTGATGGAAAGAGGGAGAATGGGGCCGGGTGATGGAAAGAGGGAGAATGGGGCGGGGTGATGGAAAGCGGGAGAATGGGGCGGGGTGATGGAAAGAGGGAGAATGGGGAGGGGTGATGGAAAGCGGGAGAATGGAGCGGGGTGATGGAAAGAGGGAAAATGGGGCGGGGTGATGGAAAGCGGGAGAATGGGGCGGGGTGATGGAAAGATGGAGAATGGGGCGGGGTGATGGAAGGCGGGAGAATGGGGCGGGGTGATGGAAAGAGGGAGAATGGGGCGGGGAGATAGAAAGCAGGAGAATGGGGCGGGGTGATGGAAAGAGGGAGAATGGGGAGGGGTGATGGAAAGAGTGAGAATGGGGCGGGGTGATGGAAAGCGGGCGAATGGGGCGGGGTGATGGAAAGCGGTAGAATGGGGCGGGATGATGGAAATCGGGAGAATGGGGCGGGGTGATGGAAAGCGGGAGAATGGGACAGGGTGATGGAAATCGGGAGAATGGGGCGGGGTGATGGAAAACGGGAGAATAAGGCGGGGTGATGGAAAGCGAGAGAATGGGGCGGGGTGATGGATAGAGGGAGAATGGGGCGGGGTGATGTAAAGCGGGAGAATGGGGCGGGGTGATGGAAAGAGGGAGAATGGGCCGGGGTGATGGAAAGCGTGAGAATGGGGCGGGGTGATGGAAAGAGGGAGAATGGGGCGGGGTGATGGAAGGCGGGAGAATGGGGCGGGGTGATGGAAAGCGGGAGAATGGGGCGGGGTGATGGAAAGCGGGAGAATGGGGCGGGGTGATGGAAATCGGGAAAATGGGGCGGGGTGATGGAAAGCGAGAGAATGGGGCGGGGTGATGGAAAGAGGGAGAATGGGGCGGGGTGATGGATGGCGGGAGAATGGGGCGGGGTGATGGAAAGGGGGAAAATTGGGCAGGGTGATGGAAAGATGGAGAATGGGGCGGGGTGATGGAAGGCGGGAGAATGGGGCGGGGTGATGGAAAGAGGGAGAATGGGGCGGGGAGATAGAAAGCAGGAGAATGGGGCGGGGTGATGGAAAGAGGGAGAATGGGGAGGGGTGATGGAAAGAGTGAGAATGGGGCGGGGTGATGGAAAGCGGGTGAATAGGGCGGGGTGATGGAAAGCGGTAGAATGGGGCGGGATGATGGAAATCGGGAGAATGGGGCGGGGTGATGGAAAGCGGGAGAATGGGACGGGGTGATGGAAATCGGGAGAATGGGGCGGGGTGATGGAAAACGGGAGAATAAGGCGGGGTGATGGAAAGCGAGAGAATGGGGCGGGGTGATGGATAGAGGGAGAATGGGGCGGGGTGATGTAAAGCGGGAGAATGGGGCGGGGTGATGGAAAGAAGGAGAATGGGCCGGGGTGATGGAAAGCGTGAGAATGGGGCGGGGTGATGGAAAGAGGGAGAATGGGGCGGGGTGATGGAAGGCGGGAGAATGGGGCGGGGTGATGGAAAGCGGGAGAATTGGGCGGGGTGATGGAAAGCGGGAGAATGGGGCGGGGTGATGAAAGGCGGGAGAATGGGGCGGGGTGATGGAAAGAGGGAGAATGGGGCGGGGTGATGGAAAGCAGGAGAATGGTGCGGGGTGATGGAAAAAAAGGGAGAATGGGGAGGGGTGGTGGAAAGAGGAGAAGTGGGCGGGGTGATGGAAAGCGGGAGAATGGAGCGGGCGGGGTGATGGAAAGCGGGAGAATGGAGCGGGGTGATGGTAAGCGGGAGAATGGGCCGGGGTGATGGAAAGAGGGAGAATGGGGCGGGGTGATGGAAAGCGGGAGAACGGGACAGGGTGATGGAAAGCGGGAGAATGGGGCGGGGTGATGGAAAGCGGGAGAATGGGGCGGGGTGATGGAAAGAGGGAGAATGGGGCGGTGTGATGGAAAGCGGGAGAACGGGGTGGGGTGATGGAAAGCGGGAGAATGGGGCGGGGTGATGGAAAGTGGGAGAATGGGGCGAGGTGATGGAAATCGGGAAAATGGAGCGGGGTGATAAAAAGCTGGAGAATGGGGCGGGGTGATGGAAAGAAGGAGAATGGGGCGGGGTGATGGAAAGCGTGAGAATGGGGCGGGGAGATGGAAAGAGGGAGAATGGGGCGAGGTGATGGAAACAGGGAGAATGGGGCGGGGTGACGGAAAGAGGGAGAGTGGGACGGCGTGATGGAAAGAGGGAGAATGGGGCGGGGAGATGGAAAGAGGGAGAATGGAGAGGGGTGATGGAAAGCGGGAGAATTGGGCGGGGTGATGGAAAGCGGGAGAATGGAGCAGGGTGATGGAAAGCGGGAGAATGGGGTGGGGTGATAGAAAGCGGGAGAATGGGGAGGGGTGATGGAAAGAGGGAGAATGGGGCGGGGTGATGGAAAGCAGAAGAATGGGGCGGGGTAATGGAAAGAGGGAGAATGGGGCGGGGTGATGGAAAGAGGGAGAATGGGGCGGGGTGATGGAAAGCGGGAGAGTGGGGCGGGTGATGGAAAGAGGGAGAATGGGGAGGGGTGATAGAAAGAGGGTGAATTGGGCGTGGTGATGGAAAGCGGGAGAATGGGGCGGGCTGATGGAAAGCGGGAGAATGGGGCGGGGTGATGGAAAGAGGAAGAATGGGGCGGGGTGATGTAAAGCGGGAGAATGGGGCGGGGTGATGGAAAGCGGGAGAATGGGGCGGGGTGATGGAAAGCGGGAGAACGGGGCGGGGTGATGGAAAGAGGGAGAATGGGGCGAGGTGATGGAAAGCGGGAGAATGGGGCGGGGTGATGGAAAGCGGGAGAATGGGGCGGGGTGATGGAAAGCGGGAGAATGGGGCGGGGTGATGGAAAGCGGGAGAACAGGGCGGGGTGATGGAAAGAGGGAGAATGGGGCGGGGTGATGGAAAGCGGGAGAATGGGGCGAGGTGACGGAAAGAGGGAGAATGGGGCGGGGTGATGGAAAGCGGGAGAATGGGTCGGGGTGATGGAAAGAGGGAGAATGGGGCGGGGTGATGGAAAGAGGGAGAATGGGGCAGGATGACGGAAATCGGGAGAATGGGGCGGGGTGATGGAAAGAGGGATAATGGGGCGAGGTGACGGAAATCGGGAGAATGGGGCGGGGTGATGGAAAGAGGGAGAATGGGGCGGGATGATGGAAAGAGGGAGAATGGGGCGGGGTGATGGAAAGAGGGAGAATGGGGCGGGGAGATGGAAAGAGGAAGAATGGGGCGGGGTGATGGAAAGAGGGAGAATGGGGCGGGGTGACGGAAATCGGGAGAATGGGGCGGGGTGATGGAAAGAGGGAGAATGGGGCGGGGTGACGGAAATCGGGAGAATGGGGCGGGGTGATGGAAAGAGGGAGAATGGGGCGGGGTGACAGAAAGAGGGAGAATGGGGCGGGGTGATGGAAAGAGGGAGAATGGGGCGGGGAGATGGAAAGAGGAAGAATGGGGCGGGGTGATGGGAAGCGGGTGAATGGGGCAGGGTGATGGAAAGAGGGAGAATGGGACGGGGTGATGGAAAGCGGGAGAATGGGGCGGGGTGATGGAAAGCGGGAGAATGGGGCGGGTGATGGAAAGCGGGAGAATGGGGCGGGGTGATGGAAAGAGGGAGAATGGGGCGGGGTGATGGAAAGCGGGAGAATGGGGCGGGGTGATGGAAAGCGGGAGAATGGGGCGGGGTGATGGAAAGCAGGAGAACGGGGCGGGGTGATGGAAAGAGGGAGAATGGGGCGGGTGATGGAAAGCGGGAGAATGGGGCGGGGTGATGGAAAGCGGGAGAACGGGGCGGGGTGATGGAAAGAGGGAGAATGGGGCGGGGTGATGGAAAGCGGGAGAATGGGGCGGGGTGATGGAAAGCGGGAGAATGGGGCGGGGTTCTGGAATGAGGGAGATTGGGGCGGGGTGATGGAAAGCGGGAGAATGGGGCGGGGTAATGGAAAGAGGGAGAATGGGGCGGGGTGATGGAAAGCGGGAGTATGGGGCGGGGTTATGGAAAGAGGGAGAATGGGGCGGGGTGATGGAAAGCGGAAGAATGGGGCGGGGTGATCGAAAGAGGGAGAATGGGGCGGGGTGATGGAAAGAGTGAGAATGGGGCGGGGTGATGGAAAGCGGGTGAATGGGGCGGGGTGTTGGAAAGCGGGAGAATGGGGCGGGGTGATGGAAAGCGGGAGAATGGGGCGAGGTGATGGAAAGCGGGAGAATGGGGCGGGGTGATGGAAATCGGGAGAATGGGGCGGGGTGATGGAAAGCGGGAGAATAAGGCGGGGAGATGGAAAGCGAGAGAATAGGGCGGGGTGATGGAAAACGGGAGAATGGGACGGGGTGATGGAAAGTGGGAGAATTGGGCGGGGTGATGGATAGAGGGAGAATGGGGCGGGGTGATGGAAAGCGGGAGAATGGGGCGGGGTGATGGAAAGAGGGAGAATGGGGTGGGGTGATGGAAAGCGTGAGAATGGGGCGGGGTGATGGAAAAAGGGAGAATGGGGCGGGGTGATGGAAGGCGGGAGAATGGGGCGGGGTGATGGAAAGAGGGAGAATGGGGCGGGGTGATGGAAAGCGGGAGAATGGGTCGGGGTGATGGAAAGAGGGAGAATGGGGCGGGGTGATGGAAAGAGGGAGAATGGGTCGGGGTGACGGAAATCAGGAGAATGGGGCGGGGTGATGGAAAGAGGGAGAATGGGGCGGGGTGATGGAAAGAGCGAGAATGGGGAGGGGTGATGGAAAGAGGGAGAATGGGGCGGGGAGATGGAAAGAGGGAGAATGGGGCGGGGTGATGGAAAGAGGGAGAATGGGGCGGGGAGATGGAAAGATGAAGAATGGGGCGGGGTGATGGAAAGCGGGAGAATGGGGCGGGGTGATGGAAAGAGGGAGAATGGGGCAGGATGACGGAAATCGGGAGAATGGGGTGGGGTGATGGAAAGAGGGAGAATGGGGCGGGGTGACGGAAATCGGGAGAATGGGGCGGGGTGATGGAAAGAGGGAGAATGGGGCGGGGTGATGGAAAGAGGGAGAATGGGGCGGGGTGATGGAAAGAGGGAGAATGGGGCGGGGAGATGGAAAGAGGAAGAATGGGGCGGGGTGATGGAAAGAGGAAGAATGGGGCGGGGTGACGGAAATCGAGAGAATGGGGCGGGGTGATGGAAAGAGGGAGAATGGGGCGGGGTGATGGAAAGAGGGAGAATGGGGCGGGGTGATGGAAAGAGGGAGAATGGGGCGGGGAGATGGAAAGAGGAAGAATGGGGCGGGGTGATGGAAAGCGGGAGAATGGGGCGGGGTGATGGAAAGAGGGAGAATGGGACGGGGTGATGGAAAGCGGGAGAATGGGGCGGGGTGATGGAAAGCGGGAGAATGGAGCGGGGTGATGGAAAGCGGGAGAATGGGGCGGGGTGATGGAAAGAGGGAGAATGGGGCGGGGTGATGGAAAGTGGGAGAATGGGTCGGGGTGATGGAAAGAGGGAGAATGGGGCGGGGTGATGGAAAGAGGGAGAATGGGGCGGGGTGACGGAAATCGGGAGAATGGGGCAGGGTGATGGAAAGAGGGAGAATGGAGCGGGGTGATGGAAAGAGGGAGAACGGGGCGGGGTGATGGAAAGAGGGAGAATGGGCGGGGTGATGGAAAGAGGGAGAATGGGGCGGGGTGATGGAAAGAGGGAGAATGGGGCGGGGAGATGGAAAGAGGAAGAATGGGGCGGGGTGATGGAAAGCGGGAGAATGGGGCGGGGTGATGGAAAGAGGGATAATGGAACGGGTTGATGGAAAGCGGGAGAATGGGACGGGGTGATGGAAAGCGGGAGGATGGGGCAGGGTGATGGAAAGCGGGAGAATGGGGCGGGGTGATGGAAAGAGGGAGAATGGGGCGGGGTGATGGAAAGCAGGAGAATGGGGCGGGGTGATGGAAAGCGGGAGAATGGGGCGGGGTGATGGAAAGCGGGAGAACGGGGCGGGGTGATGGAAAGAGGGAGAATGGGGCGGGGTGATGGAAAGCGGGTGAATGGGGCGGGGTTATGGAAAGAGGGAGAATGGGGCGGGGTGATGGAAAGCGGGAGAATGGGGCGGGGTGAAGGAAAGAGGGAGAATGGGGCGGGGTGATGGAAAGAGGGAGAATGGGGCGGGGTGATGGAAAGCGGGAGAATGGGGCGGGGTGATGGAAAGCGGGAGAATGGAGCGGGGTTATGGAAAAAGGGAGAATGGGGAGGGGTGATGGAAAGCGGGAGAATGGGGCGGGGTGATGGAAAGCGGGACAATGGAGCGGGATGATGGAAAGCGGTAGAATGGGGCGGGGTGATGGAAAGCGGGAGAATGGGGCGGGGTGATGGAAAGAGGGAGAAAGGGGCGGGGTGATGGAAAGCAGGAGAATGTGGCGGGGTGATGGAAAGCGGGAGAATGGGGCGGGGTGATGGAAAGCGGGAGAACGGGGCGGGGTGATGGAAAGAGGGAGAATGGGGCGGGGTGATGGAAAGCAGGAGAATGGGGCGGGGTTATGGAAAGAGGGAGAATGGGGCGGGGTGATGGAAAGCGGGAGAATGGGGCGGGGTGATGGAAAGAGGGAGAATGGGGCGGGGTGATGGAAAGAGGGAGAATGGGGCGGGGTGACGGAAAGCGGGAGAATGGGGCGAGGTTATGGAAAGAGGGAGAATGGGGCGGGGTGATGGAAAGCGGGAGAATGGGGCGGGGTGATGGAAAGAGGGAGAATGGGGCGGGGTGATGGAAAGAGTGAGAATGGGGCGGGGTGATGGAAAGCGGGAGAATGGGGCGAGGTGTTGGAAAGCGGGAGAATGGGGCGGGGTGATGGAAAGCGGGAGAATGGGGCGAGGTGATGGAAAGCGGGAGAATGGGGCGGGATGATGGAAAACGGGAGAATGGGGCGGGGTGATGGAAAGCGGGAGAATAAGGCGGGGTGATGGAAAGCGAGAGAATGGGGCGGGGTGATGGAAAGCGTGAGAATGGGGCGGGGTGATGGAAATCGGGAGAATGGGGCGGGGTTATGGAAAGAGGGAGAATGGGGCGGGGTGACGGAAATCGGGAGAATGGGGCGGGGTGATGGAAAGAGGGAGAATGGGGGGGGGGTGATGGAAAGAGGGAAAATGGGGCGGGGTGATGGAAAGAGGGAGAATGGGGCGGGGAGATGGAAAGAGGAAGAATGGGGCGGGGTGATGGAAAGAGGAAGAATGGGGCGGGGTGACGGAAATCGGAAGAATGGGGCGGGGTGATGGAAAGAGGGAGAATGGGGCGGGGTGATGGAAAGAGGGAGAATGGGGCGGGGTGATGGAAAGCAGGAGAATGGGGCGGGGTGATGGAAAGCTGGAGAATGGGGCGGGGTGATGGAAAGCAGGAGAACGGGGCGGGGTGATGGAAAGAGGGAGAATGGGGCGCGGTGATGGAAAGCGGGAGAATGGGGCGGGGTTATGGAAAGAGGGAGAATGGGGCAGGGTGATGGAAAGAGGGAGATGGGGCGGGGTGATGGAAAGAGGGAGAATGGGGCGGGGTGATGGAAAGAGGGAGAATGGGGCGGGGTGATGGAAAGCGGGAGAGTGGGGCGGGGTGACGGAAATCGGGAGAATGGGGCGGGGTGATGGAAAGAGGGAGAATGGGGCGGGGTGATGGAAAGAGGGAGAATGGGGCGGGGTGATGGAAATCAGGAGAATGGGGCGGGGTGATGGAAAGCGGGAGAATGGGGCGGGGTGATGGAAAGCAGGAGAATGGGGCGGGGTGATGGAAAGCGGGAGAATGGGGCGGGGTGATGGAAAGCAGGAGAACGGGGCGGGGTGATGGAAAGAGGGAGAATGGGGCGCGGTGATGGAAAGCGGGAGAATGGGGCGGGGTGATGGAAAGAGGGAGAATGGGGCGGGGTGATAGAAAGAGGGAGAATGGGGCGGGGTGATGGAAAGCGGGAGAATGGGGCGGGGTGATGGAAAGCGGGAGAATGGGGTGGGGTGATGGAAAGCGGGTGAATGGGGCGGGGTAATGGAAAGCGGAAGAATGGGGCGGGGTGATGGAAAGCGGGAGAATGGGGCGAGGTGATGGAAAGCGGGAGAATGCGGCGGGGTGATAGAAAGCGGGAGAATGGGGCGGGGTGATGGAAGGAGGGAGAGGTGATGGAAAGCGGGGGAATGGGGCGGGATGATGGGAAGCGGGAGAATGAGGCGGGGTGATGGAAAGCGGGAGAATGGGGCGGGGTGATGGAAAGCGGGAGAATGGGGTAGGGTGATGGAAAGCGGGAGAATGGGGCGGGGTGATGGAAAGCGGGAGAATGGGGCGGGGTGATGGAAAGCGGGTGAATGGGGCAGGGTGATGGAAAGCGGGAGACTGGGGCGGGGTGATGGAAAGCGGGAGAATGGGGCGGGGTGATGGAAAGCGGGAGATTGGGGCGGGGTGATGGAAAGCAGGAGAATGGGGCGGGGTGATGGAAAGCGGGAGAATGGGGCGGGGTGATGGAAGGAGGGAGAATGGGGCGGGGTGATGGAAAGAGGGAGAATGGGGCGGGGTGATGGAAGGAGGGAGAATGGGGCGGGGCGATCGAAAGCGGGAGAATGGGGCGGGGTGATGGAAAGCGGGAGAATGGGGCGGGGTGATGGAAAGCGGGAGAATGGGGCGGGGTGACGGAAATCGGGAGAATGGGGCGGGGTGATGGAAAGAGGGAGAATGGGGCGGGGTGATGGAAAGAGGGAGAATGGGGCGGGGTGATGGAAAGAGGGAGAATGGGGCGGGGAGATGGAAAGAGGAAGAATGGGGCGGGGTGATGGAAAGAGGAAGAATGGGGCGGGGTGACGGAAATCGAGAGAATGGGGCGGGGTGATGGAAAGAGGGAGAATGGGGCGGGGTGATGGAAAGAGGGAGAACGGGGCGGGGTGATGGAAAGAGGGAGAATGGGGCGGGGAGATGGAAAGAGGAAGAATGGGGCGGGGTGATGGAAAGCGGGAGAATGGGGCGGGGTGATGGAAAGAGGGAGAATGGGACGGGGTGATGGAAAGCGGGAGAATGGGGCGGGGTGATGGAAAGCGGGAGAATGGAGCGGGGTGATGGAAAGCGGGAGAATGGGGCGGGGTGATGGAAAGAGGGAGAATGGGGCGGGGTGATGGAAAGAGGGAGAATGGGGCGGGGTGATGGAAAGAGGGAGAATGGGGCGGGGTGACGGAAATCGGGAGAATGGGGCGGGGTGATGGAAAGAGGGAGAATGGGGCGGGGTGATGGAAAGAGGGAGAACGGGGCGGGGTGATGGAAAGAGGGAGATTGGGCGGGGTGATGGAAAGAGGGAGAATGGGGCGGGGTGATGGAAAGAGGGAGAATGGGGCGGGGAGATGGAAAGAGTAAGAATGGGGCGGGGTGATGGAAAGCGGGAGAATGGGGCGGGGTGATGGAAAGAGGGATAATGGGACGGGTTGATGGAAAGCGGGAGAATGGGGCAGGGTGATGGAAAGCGGGAGGATGGGGCGGGGTGATGGAAAGCGGGAGAATGGGGTGGGGTGATGGAAAGAGGGAGAATGGGGCGGGGTGATGGAAAGCAGGAGAATGGGGCGGGGTGATGGAAAGCGGGAGAATGGGGCGGGGTGATGGAAAGCGGGAGAACGGGGCGGGGCGATGGAAAGAGGGAGAATGGGGCGGGGTGATGGAAAGCGGGTGAATGGGGCGGGGTTATGGAAAGAGGGGGAATGGGGCGGGGTGATGGAAAGCGGGAGAATGGGGCGGGGTGAAGGAAAGAGGGAGAATGGGGCGGGGTGATGGAAAGAGGGAGAATGGGGCGGGGTGATGGAAAGCGGGAGAATGGGGCGGGTTGATGGAAAGCGGGAGAATGGGGCGGGGTTATGGAAAAAGGGAGAATGGGGAGGGGTGATGGAAAGCGGGAGAATGGGGCGGGGTGATGGAAAGCGGGACAATGGAGCGGGATGATGGAAAGCGGTAGAATGGGGCGGGGTGATGGAAAGCGGGAGAATGGGGCGGGGTGATGGAAAGCGGGTGAATGGGGCGGGGTTATGGAAAGAGGGGGAATGGGGCGGGGTGATGGAAAGCGGGAGAATGGGGCGGGGTGAAGGAAAGAGGAAGAATGGGGCGGGGTGATGGAAAGAGGGAGAATGGGGCGGGGTGATGGAAAGCGGGAGAATGGGGCGGGGTGATGGAAAGCGGGAGAATGGGGCGGGGTGATGGAAAGCGGGAGAATGGGGCGGGGTGATGGAAAGCGGGAGAATGGGGCGGGGTGATGGAAAGCGGGAGAATGGGGCAGGGTGATGGAAAGCGGGAGAATGGGGCAGGGTGGTGGAAAGCGGGAGAATGGGGCGGGGTGATGGAAAGCGGGAGCATGGGGCGAGGTGATGGAAAGCGAGAGAATGGGGCGGGGTGATGGAACGCGGGAGAATGGGGCGGGATGATGGAAAACGGAGATTGGGGCGGGGTGATGGAAAGCGGGAGAATGGGGTGGGGTGATGGAAAGCGGGAGAATGGGGCGGGGTGATGGAAAGCGGGAGAATGGGGCGGGGTGATGGAAAGCGGGAGAATGGGGAGGGGTGATGGAAAGAGGGAGAATGGGGCAGGGTGATGGAAAGAGGAAGAAAGGGGCGGGGTGATTGAAAGTGGGAGAATGGGGCGGGGTGATGGAAAGCGAAGAATGGGGCGGGGTGATGGAAAGCGGGAGAATGGGGGGGGTGATGGAAAGCGGGAGAATGGGGCGGGGTGATGGAAAGCGGGAGAATGGGGCGGGGTGATGGAAAGCGGGAGAAAGGGGCGGGGTGATGGAAAGAGGAAGAATGGGGCGGGGTGATGGAAAGCGGGAGAATGGGGCGGGGTGATGGAAAGTGGGAGAATGGGGCGGGGTGATGGAAAGCGGGAGAATGGGGCGGGGTGATGGAAAGCGGGAGAATGGGGCGGGGTAATGGAAAGCGTCAACTCTCATATAAGAGCGTCAACTCCCCTATAAGAGCGTCAACTTCCCTATAAGAGCATCAACTCCCCTATAAGAGCGTCAACTCCCCTATAAAAGCGTCAACTCCCCTATAAAGGCGTCAGCTCTCATTAAAGAGCGTCAACTCTCCTATAAGAGTGTCAACTCCCCTATAATAGCGTCAACTCTCATATAAAAGCGTCAACTCTCCCATAAACATGTCAACTCCCCTTTAAAAGCGTCAACTCTCATATAAGAGCGTCAACTGCCCTATAAGAGCGTTAACTTCCATATAAGAGCGTCAACTTCCCTATAAGAGCTTCAACTCCCCTATAAAAGCGCCAGCTCTCCTATAAGAGCGTCAACTCCCCCATTTAAGGGGCAACTCTCATATAAAAGCGTCAACTCCCCTATATGAGCGTCAACTCCCCTATAAACACATCAACTACTCTTTAAAAGTGTCAACTCTCATATACGAGCGTCAACTCCCCTATAAGGGCGTCAAATCCCCTTCAAGAGCATCAACTTCCTTATAAGAGCGTCAACTCCCCTATAAGAGCGTCAACTCCCCTATAAGAGCGTCAACTCCCCAAAACGAGTGTCAACTCCCCTATAAAAGCGTCAACTCCCCAATAAAAGCGTCAACTCTCATATAAGAGCGTCAACTCCCCTATAAGAGCGTCAACTCCCCTATAAGGGTGTCAACTCCCCTATAAGAGCGTCAACTCCCCTATAAGAGCGTCAACTCCTCTATAAGAGTGTCAACTCCCCTACAAGAGCGTCAGCTCTTTTATAAGAGCGTCAACTCTCCTATAAGAGCGTCAACTCTCCCTTTACATCTTTAACTCTCATATAAAAGTGTCAACTCCCATTCAAAAGTGTCAACTATCATATAAGAGCGTCAGCTCTTCTATAAGAGCGTCAACTCCCCTATTAGAGCGTAAACTTCCCTATAAGAGCGTCAACTCCCCTATAAGAGAGTCAACTCCCCTATAAAAGCGTCAACTCCCCTATAAAAGTGTCAGCTCTCCAATAAGAGCGTCAACTCTCCTATAAGAGCGTCAACTCCCCCATAAAAGCGTCAACTCTCACATAAAAGCGTCAACTCCCCCTATAAGAGCGCCAACTTCCCTATAAGAGTGTCAACTCCCCTATAAGAGCGTCAACTCCCCTATAAGAGCGTCAACTCCCCTATAAGAGCGTCAACTCCCCTATAAGAGTGTCAACTCCCCAACAAGACCGTCAACTCCCCTATAAGAGCGTCAACTCCCTTATAAAAGCGTCAACTCCTCTATAAAAGCATCAACTCTCATATAAGAGCGTCAACTCTCCCAAAAGAGCGTCAACTCCCCTATAAGAGCGTCAACTCCCCAACAAAAGCGTCAACTCTGATATAAAAGCATCAACTCCCCCATAAAAGTGTCAACTCTCATTTAAAAGCGTCAACTCGCATATAAGAGCATCAACTCCCCTAAAAGAGCATCAACTCCATAAGAGCGTCAACTTTCCTATAAGAGCGTCAACTTTCCTATAAGAGCGTCAACTTTCCTGTAAGAGCATCAACTTTCCTATAAGAGCGTCAACTCCCCTATAAAAGCGTCTGCTCTCCGATAAGTGCGTCAACTCTCCTATATGAGCGTCAACTCCCCCACAAAAGCGTCAACTCTCATATTATAGCATCAACTCTCCTAAAAGAGCGTCAACTCCCCTATAAGAGTGTCAACTCCCCTATAAGAGCGTCAACTCCCATGTAAGAGCGTCAACTTTCCTATAAGAGCGTCAACTCCCCTATAAAAGCGTCAACTCTCCTATAAGAGCGTCAACTCCCCTATAAGAGCGTCAACTCCCCCATTAAAGCGTCAACTCTCATATAAAAGCGTCAACTCCCCTAGAAGAGAGTCGACTCTCCTATAAGAGCGTCAACTCTGCTATACGAGCGTCAACTCCCCTACAACAGCGTCAACTCTCCTATAAGAGCGTCAACTCCCATATAAAAGCGTCAACTCTCATATATAAGTGTCAACTCCCCCATAAAAGTGTTAACTCTCATTTTAAAGCGTCAACTCTCATATAAGAGCATCAACTCCCCTATAAGAGCGTCAACTCCCCTATAAAAGCGTCAACTTCTCTATAAGAGCGTCAACTCCCCTATAAGAGCATCAACTCTTCTATAAAAGCGTCAACTCCCCTATAAAAGCATCAACTCCCCATTCTCCCTCTTTCCCATAACCCTGTCCCATTCTCCCGCTATCCATCACCCCGCCTCATTCTCCCGCTTCCCATAACCCCACCCCATTCTCCCGCTTTCCATCACCCCGCCACATTCTCCCGCTTTCTATCACCCCGCCCCATTCTCCCTCTTTCCATCAACCCGCCCCATTCTCCCGCTTTCCATCACCCCGCCCCATTCTCCCGATTTCCATCACCCCGCCCCATTCTCCCGCTTTCCATCACCCCACCCCATTCTCCCGCTTTCCATCACCCTGCCACATTCTCCCGCTTTCCATCATCCCGCCCCATTCTCCCTCCTTCCATCACCCCGCCCCATTCTCCCGCTTTCCATTACCCCGCCCCATTCTCCCGCTTTCCATCACCCCGCCCCATTCTCCCTCTTTCCATCACCCCGCCCCATTCTCACGCTTTCCATCATCCCGCCCCATTCTCCCGCTTTCCATCACCCCGCCCCTTTCTTCCTCTTTCCATCACCCCGCCCCATTCTCCCGCTTTCCATCTCCGCGCCCCATTCTCCCGCTTTCCATCACCCCGCCCCATTCTCCCGCTTTCCATCACCCCGCCCCATTCTTCCGCTTTCCATCACCCCACCCAATTCTCCCTCTTTCTTTCACCCCTCCCCATTCTCCCCATTTCCATCACCCCGCCCCATTCTCCCTCTTTCCATCACCCCGCCCTATTCTCCCGCTTTCCATCACCCGCCCCATTCTTCCGCTTTCCATCAACCCGCCCCATTCTCCCGCTTTCCATCACCCCGCCCCATTCTCCCTCCTTCCATCACCCCGCCCCATTCTCCCGCTTTCCATCACCCCGCCCCATTCTCCCTCCTTTCATCACCTCGCCCCATTCTCCCTCCTTCCATCACCCCGCCCCATTCTCCCGCTTTCCATCACTCCGCCCCATTCTCCCTCCTTCCATCACCCCGCCCCATTCTCCCTCCTTCCATCACCCCGCCCCATTCTCCCGCTTTCCATCACCCCGCCCCATTCTCCCGCTTCCCATATCCCCACCCCATTCTCCCGCTTTCCATCACCCCGCCACGTTCTCCCACTTTCCATCACCCCGCCCCCTTCTCTCTCCTTCCATCACCCCGCCCCATTCTCCCTCCTTCCATCACCCCGCCCCATTCTCCCGCTTTCCATCAGCCCGCCCCATTCTCCCGCTTTCCATCACCCCTCCCCTTTCTCCCGCTTTCCATCTCCCCGCCCCATTCTCCCGCTTTCCATCACCCCGCCCCATTCTCCCGCTTTCCATCACCCCGCCCCATTCTTCCGCTTCCCATCATCCCGCCCCATTCCCCCGCTTTCCATCACCCCTCCCCATTCTTCCTCCTTCCATCACCTCGCCCCATTCTCTCGCTTTCCATCACCCGGCTCGATTCTCCCGCTTTCCATCACCCCGCCCCATTCTCCCGCTTTCCATCACCCAGCCCCATTCTCCCGCTTTCCATCACCCCGCCCCATTCTCCCGCTTTCCATCACCCCGCCACATTCTCCCGCTTTCCATCACCCCGCCCCATTCTCCCTCCTTCCATCACCCCGCCCCATTCTCCCGCTTTCCATCACCCCGCCCCACTCTCCCGCTTCCCATAACCCCACCCAATTCTCCCGCTTTCCATCACCCCACCACATTTTCCCGTTTTCTATCACCCCGCCCCATTCTCCCTCCTTCCATCACCCCGCCCCATTCTCCCGCTTTCCATCACCCCGCCCCATTCTCCCGATTTCCGTCACCCCGCCCCATTCTCCCGCTTTCCATCACCCCGCCCCATTCTCCCGCTTTCTATCACCCCGCCCCATTCTCCCGCATTCCATCATCCCGCCCCATTCTCCCTCCTTCCATCACCCCGCCCCATTCTCCCGCTTTCCATCACTCCGCCCCATTCTCCCTCCTTCCATCACCCCGCCCCATTCTCCCTCCTTCCATCACCCCGCCCCATTCTCCCGCTTTCCATCACCCCGCCCCATTCTCCCTTTTTCCATCACCCCGCCCCATTCTCCCGCTTTCCATCACCCCGCCCCATTCTCCCGCTTTCCATCACCCCGCTCCATTCTCCCGCTTTCCATCGACCCACCCAATTCTCCCTCTTTCCATCACCTCTCCCCATTCTCCCTCTTTCCATCACCCCGCCCCATTCTCCCGCTTTCCATCACCCCGCCCCATTCTCTCGCTTTCCATCACCCCGCCCCATTCTCCCGCTTTCCATCACCCCGCCCCATTCTCCCTCTTTCCATCACCCCGTCCCATTCTCCCGCTTTCCATCACCCCGCCCCATTCTCCCGCTTTCCATCACCCCGCCCCATTCTCCTTCTTTCCATCACCCCGCCCCATTCTCCCTCTTTCCATCACCCCGCCCCATTCTCCCGCTTTCCATCACCCCGCGCCATTTTCCCTCTTTCCATCACCCCGCCCCATTCTCCCACTTTGCATCACCCCGCCCCATTCTCTCGCTTTCCATCATCCCGCTCCATTGTCCTGCTTTCCATCACCCCGCCCAATTCTCACTCTTTCCATCACCCCTCCCCATTCTCCCTTTTTCCATCACCCCGCCCCATTCTCTCGCTTTCCATCACCCCGCTCCATTCTCCCGCTTTCCATCACCCCGCCCAATTCTCCCTCTTTCCATCAACCCTCCCTATTCTCCCACTTTCCATCACCCCGCCCCATTCTCTCGCTTTCCATCACCCCGCCCCATTCTCCCGCTTTCCATCGCCCCGCCCCATTCTCCCGCTTTCCATCACCCCGCCCCATTCTCCCGCTTTCCATCACCCCGCCCCATTCTCCCTTTTTCCATCACCCCGCCCCATGCTCCCGATTTCCATCACCCCGCCCCATTCTCCCGCTTTCCATCATCCCGCCCCATTCTCCCGCTTTCCACCACCCCGCCCCATTCTCCCTCTTTCCATCACCCCGCCCCATTCTTCCTCTTTCCATCACCCCGCCCCATTCTCCCGATTTCCATCACCCCGCCCCATTCTCCCAATTTCCATCACCCCGCCTCATTCTCCCTCTTTCCATCACCCCGCCCCATTCTCCCTCTTTCCATCACCCCGCCCCACTCTCCCGCCTTCCATCACCCCGCCCAATTCTCCCTCTTTCCATCACCCCGCCCCATTCTCCCTCTTTCCATCACCCCGCCCCATTCTCCCGCTTTCCATCACCCCGCCCCATTCTCCCTCTTTCCATCACCCCGCCCCATTCTCCCTCTTTCCATCACCCCGCCCCATTCTCCCGCTTTCCAGCACCCCGCGCCATTTTCCCTCTTTCCATCACCCCGCCCCATTCTCCCGCTTTCCATCACCCCGCCCCATTCTCTCGCTTTCCATCATCCCGCTCCATTGTCCCGCTTTCCATCACCCCGCCCAATTCTCCCTCTTTCCATCACCCCTCCCCATCCTCCTTTTTTCCATCACCCCGCCCCATTCTCCCGCTTTCCATCACGCCGCCCCATTCTCCCTCTTTCCATCACCCCGCCCCACTCTCCCGCCTTCCATCAACCCGCCCAATTCTCCCTCTTTCCATCACCCCGCCCCATTCTCCCTCTTTCCATCACCCCGCCCCATTCTCCCGCTTTCCATCACCCCGCCCCATTCTCCTTCTTTCCATCACCCCGCCCCATTCTCCCTCTTTCCATCAACCCGCCCCATTCTCCCGCTTTCCATCACCCCGCGCCATTTTCCCTCTTTCCATCACCCCGCCCCATTCTCCCGCTTTCCATCACCCCACCCCATTCTCTCGCTTTCCATCATCCCGCTCCATTGTCCCGCTTTCCATCACCCCGCCCAATTCTCACTCTTTCCATCACCCCTCCCCATTCTCCCTTTTTCCATCACCCCGCCCCATTCTCCCTCTTTCCATCACCCCGCCCCATTCTCCCTCTTTCCATCACCCCGCCCCATTCTCCAGCTTTCCATCACCCCGCCCCATTCTCCTTCTTTCCATCACCCCGCCCCATTCTCCCTCTTTCCATCAACCCGCCCCATTCTCCCGCTTTCCATCACCCTGCGCCATTTTCCCTCTTTCCATCACCCCGCCCCATTCTCCCGCTTTCCATCACCTCGCCCGATCCTCCCTCTTTCCATCACCCCGCCCCATTCTACTGCTGTCCATCACCCTGCTCCATTCTCCCGCTTCCCATCACCCTGCCCAATTCTCCCTCTTTCCATCACCCCTCCCCATTCTCCCTCTTTCCATCACCCCGCCCCATTCTCCCGCTTTCCATCACCCCGCCCCATTCTCCCTCTTTCCATCACCTCGCCCGATCCTCCCTCTTTCCATCACCCCGCACCATTCTCCCGCTTACCATCACCCCGCCCCATTCTAGTGCTTTCCATCACCCCGTCCCATTCTCCCGCTTTCCATCACCCCACTCCATTCTCCCGCTTTCCATCACCACGCCCAATTTTCCCTCTTTCCATCAACCCGCCCCATTCTCCCTCTTTCCATCACCCCGCCCCATTCTCCCCCAATCCATCACCCCACCCCATTTTCACTCTTTCCATCACCCGGTCCCATTCTCCCGCTATCCATCACCCCGCCCCATTCTCCCGCTTTCCATCACCCCGCTCCATTCTCCCGCTTTCCAACACCCCGCCCAATTCTCCCTCTTTCCATCACCCCTTCCCATTCTCCCTCTTTCCATCATCCAGCCCCATTCTCCCGCTTTCCATCACCCCGCCTCATTCTCCCTCTTTCCATCACCGCGCCCCATTCTCCCTCTTTCCATCACCCTGCCCCATTCTCTCGCTTTCCATCACCCCGCCCCATTCTCCCGCTTTCTATCACACCGCCCCATTCTCCCGCTTTCCATCACCCTGCTTTATTCTCCCGCTTTCCATCACCCCGCCCAATTCTCCCTCTTTCCATCACCCCTCTCCATTCTCCCTCTTTCCATCACCCCGCCCCATTCTCCCTCTTTCCATCACCCCTCCCCATTCTCCCTCTTTCCATCACCCGGCACCATTCTCCCGCTTTCCATCACCCCGCACCATTCTACTGCTTTCCATCACCCCGCCCCATTCTACTGCTTTCCATCACCCCGTCCCATTCTCCTGCTTTCCATCACCCCGCCCAATTTTCCCTCTTTCCATCACCCTGACCCATTCTCCCTCTTTCCATCACCCCGCCTCATTCTCCCCCAATCCATCACCCCTCCCCATTTTCACTCTTTCCATCACCCCGTCCCATTCTCCCGCTTTCCATCACCCCGCCCCATTCTCCCTCTTTCCATCACCCCGCCCCATTCTCCCTATTTCCATCACCCCGCCCCATTTTCACTCTTTCCATCACCCCGTCCCATTCTCCCGCTTTCCATCACCCCGCCCCATTCTCCCGCTTTCCATCACCCCGCTCCATTCTCCCGCTTTCCATCACCCCGCCCAATTCTCCCTCTTTTTATCACCCCTCAACATTCTCCCTCTTTCCATCACCCCGCCCCATTCTCCCGCTTTCCATCACCCCGCCCCATTCTCCCTCTTTCCATCACCCCGCCCCATTCTCCCTCTTTCTATCACCCCGCCCCATGCTCCCTGTTTCCATCACCCCGCCCCATTCTCCCTGTTTCCATCACCCCGCCCCATTCTCACGCTTTCCATCACCCCGCCCCATTCTCCTGCTATCCATCACCCCGCCCCGTTCTCCCGCTTTCTTTCACCCCGCCCCATTTTCCCGCTTTCCATCATCGCGCCCCGTTCTCCCGCCTTCCATCACCCCGCCCCGTTCTCCCGCTTTCCATCACCTCGCCCCGTTCTCCCGCTTTCCATCACCCCGCCCCGTTCTCCCGCTTTCCATCACCCAGCACCAGTCTCCCGCTCTCAATCACCCCGCCCCATTCACCCGTTTTCCATCACCCCTCCCCATTCTCCCTCTTTCCATCACCCGCTCCATTCTCCCGCTTTCCATCACCCCGCCCAATTCCCCCTCTTTTCATCACCCCTCTCCATTCTCCCTCTTTCCATCACCCGGCCCCATTCTCCTGCTTTCCATCACCCCGCCCCATTCTCCCTCTTTCAATTACCCTGCCCCATTCTCCCGCTTTCCATCACCCCGCCCCATTCTCCCTCTTTCCACCACCTCGCCCCATTCTCCCTGTTTCCATCACCCCTCCCCATTCTCCCTCTTTCCATCACCCCGCCCCATTCTCCCGCTTTCCATCACCCCGCCCCATTCTCCCGCTTTCCATCACCCCACCCCATTCTCCCGCTTTCCATCACCCTGCCCCATTCTTCCGCTTTCCATCACCCCGCCTCATTCTCCCGATTTCTATCACCCGGCCCCAGTCTCCCGCTTTCCCTTACTTCGCCCCATTCTCCCGCTTTCCATCACCCCGCCCCTTTCTCCCACTTTTCATCACCCCGCCCCGTTCTCCCGCTTTCCATCACCTCGCCCCGTTCTACCGCTTTCCATCACCCCGCTTCGTTCTCTCGCTTTCCATCACCCCGCCCCATTCTCCCCCTTTCCATCACCCCGCCCCAGTCTCCCGCTCTCAATCACCCCGCCCCATTCTCCCGTTTTCCATCACCCCTCCCCATTCTCCCTCTTTCCATCACCCCGCTCCATTCTCCCTCTTTCCATCACCCGTCCCTGTTCTCCCGATTTCAATCACCCCGCCCCATTCTCCCGCTTTCCATCACCCCGCCCCATTCTCCTCTTTCCATCACCCCGCCCCATTCTCCCGCTTTCGATCACCCGCCCCATTCTCTTGCTTTCCATCACCCCGCCCCATTCTCCCGCTTTCCATCAGCCGCCCCGTTCTCCCACTTTTATTACCCCGCCCCATTCTCCCGCTTCTTCGCTTTCCATCACCCCGCCCTATTCTCCCTCTTTCCATCACCCCGCCCCATTCTCCCGCTTTCCATCACCCCGCCCCGTTTTCCCTCTTTCCATCACTGCGCCACATTCTCCCGCTTTCCATCACCCCGCCCCACTCTCCCGCTTTCCATCACCCAGCCCCATTCTTCCTCTTTCCATAACCCCGCCCCATTCTCCCGCTTTCCATCACTCCGCCCCATTCTCCAGCTTTCCATCACCCCGCTCCATTCTCCCGCTTTCCATCACCCCCGCCCCATTCTCCCTCTTTCATTCACCCCGCCCCATTCTCCCTCTATCCATTACCCCGCCCCATTCTCCCGCTTTCCATCACCCTGTCCCATTCTCCTGCTTTTCATCACGTTGCCCCATTCTCTTGCTTTCCATCACCCCGCCCCATTCTCCCGCTTTCCATCACCCCGCCCCATTCTCCCGCTTTCTATCACCCCGCCCCATTCTCCTGCTTTCCATCACCCCGCCCCATTCTCCCGCTTTCCATCACCCGCCCCAGTCTCCCGCTTTCCCTTACTTCGCCCCATTCTCCCGCTTTCCATCACCCCGCCCCATTCTCCCGCTTTCCATCACCCCGCCCCGTTCTCCCACTTTCCATTACCCCGCCCCGTTCTCCCGCTTTCTATCACCTCGCCCCGTTCTACCGCTTTCCATCACCCCGCTTCGTTCTCCCGCATTCCATCACCCCGCCCCATTCTCCCCCTTTCCATCACCCCGCCCCGTTCTCCCTCTTCTCATCACCCCGCCCCATTCTCCCTCTTTCCAACACCCCGCCCCATTCTCCTGCTTTCCATCACCCCGCCCCATTCTCCCTCTTTCCATCACCCCGCCCCAATCTCCCGCTTTCCATCACCTCGCCCCATTCTCCCTCTTTCCATCACCCCGCCCCATTCTCCCTCTTTCCATCACCGCGCCCCATTCTCCCGCCTTCCATCACCCTGCCCCATTCTCCCTCTTTCCATCACCCCGCTCCATTCTCCCGCTTTCCATCACCCCGCCCCATTCTCCCGCTTTCCATCACCCCGCCCCATTCTCCCTCTTTCCATCAGCCCGCCCCGTTCTCCCGCCTTCCATCACCCCGCCCCATTCTCCCTCTTTCCATCACCCCGCCCCATTCTCCCACTTTCCATCACCCCGCCCCATTCTCACGCTTTCCATCACCCCGCTCTATTCTCCCGCTTTCCATCACCCCGCCCAATTCTCCCTCTTTCTATCACCCCTCCCCATTCTCCCTCTTTCCATCACCCCGCCCCATTCTCCCGCTTTCCATCACCCCGCCCCATTCTCCCGCTTTCCATCACCCCGCCCCATTCTCCTTCTTTCCATCACCCCGCCCCATTCTCCCGCTTTCCATCACCCCGCCCCATTCTCTCGCTTTCCATCAACCCGCCCCTTTCTCCCTCTTTCCATCACCCCACCCCGTTCTCTCGCTTTCCATCACCCCGCCCCAGTCTCCTGCTCTCAATCACCCCTCCCCATTCTCCCGTTTTCCATCACCCCTCCCCATTCTCCCTCTTTCCATCACCCCGCCCCATTCTCCCTCTTTCCATCACCCGGCCCTGTTCTCCCGCTTTCAATCACCCTGCCCCATTCTCCCGCTTTCCATCACCTCGCCCCATTCTCCCGCTTTCCATCACCCCGCCCCATTCTCCCGCTTTCCATCACCCCGCCCCATTCTCCTGCTTTCCATCACCCCGCCCTATTCTCCCTCTTTCCATCACCCCGCCCCATTCTCCCGCTTTCGATCACCCCGCCCCATTTTCCCTCTTTCCATCACCGCGCCACATTCTCCCGCTTTCCATCACCCCGCCCCACTCTCCCGCTTTCCATCACCCAGCCCCATTCTTCCTCTTTCCATAACCGCGCCCCATTCTCCCGCTTTCCATCACTCCGCCCCATTCTCCAACTTTCCATCACCCCGCTCCATTCTCCCGCTTTCCATCACCCCCGCCCCATTCTCCCTCTATCCATCACCCCGCCCCATTCTCCCGCTTTCCATCACCCTGTCCCATTCACCCGCTTTCCATCACCTTGCCCCATTCACTTGCTTTTCATCACCCCGCCCTATTCTCCCGCTTTCCATCACCCCGCCCCATTCTCCCGCTTTCTATCACCCCGCCCCATTCTCCCGCTTTCCATCACCCCGCCCCATTCTCCCGCTTTCCATCACCCCGCCCTGTTCTCCCTCTTTCCATCACCCCGCTCCATTCTCCCGCTTTCCATCACCCCGCCCCATTCTCCCGCTTTCCATCACCCCGCCCCATTCTCCCACGTCTGCTTCCTCAGGTACTGGTGAGTCTGCGCTCTCAGGTACTGGTGAGTCTGCGCTTTCAGGTACTGCGCCGGCTTCGGCCTCCCTCACCTTCACTCTTGACTCTGGGGCCTCTCGCTCCTTCTTTCGCGACTGCACCACATTCACGCCGCTTCGTCGGCTGTCGCGGTGTCCCTTTCCATCACCCCGCCCCATTCTCCCGCTCTCAATCACCCCGCCCCATTCTCCCGTTTTCCATCACCCCTCCCCATTCTCCCTCTTTCTATCACCCCGCCCCATTCTCCCTCTTTCCATCACCCTTCCCCATTCTCCCGCTTTCTATCACCCCGCCCCATTCTCCCGCTTTCCATCATCCCCCTCCATTCTCCCCCTTTCCATCACCCCGCCCAATTCTCCCTCTTTCCATCAACCCTCCCCATTCTCCCTCTTTCCATCACCCCGCCCTATTCTCCCGCTTTCCATCACCCCGTCCCATTCTCCCGCTTTCCATCACCCCGCCCCATTCTCCTGCTTTTCATCACCCCGCCCCATTCTCCCGCTTTCCATCACCCCGTCCCATTCTCCCTCTTTCCATCACCCCGCTCCATTCTCCCGCTTTCCATCACCCTGCCCTATTCTCCCTCTTTCCATCACCCCTCCCTCTTCTCCCTCTTTCCATCACCCCGCCCTATTCTCCCGCTTTCCATCACCCCGCCCCATTCTCCCGCTTTCCATCACCCCGCCCCATTCTCCCGCTTTCCATCACCCCGCCCCATTCTCCCGCTTTCCATCACCCCGCCCCATTCTCCCGCTTTGCATCACCCCGCCCCATTCTCCCGCTTTCCATCACCCCGCCCCATTCTCCCGCTTTCCATCACCCCTCCCCATTCTCCCTCTTTCCATCACCCCGCCCCATTCTCCTGCTTCCCATCACCCCGCCCCATTCTCCCGCTTTCCATCACCCCGCCCCATTCTCCCTCTTTCCATCACCCCGCCCCATTCTCCCGCTTTCCATCTCCCCACCCCATTCTCCTGCTTTCCATCACCCCGCCCATTCTCCCGCCTCTTTCCATCACCCCGCCCCATTCTCCCGCTTTCCATCACCGCGCCCCATTCTCCCGCTTTCCATCACCCCGCCCCCATTCTCCCGCTTCCCATCACCCCGCCCCATTCTCCCACTTTCCATCACCCCGCCCCATTCTCCAGCATTCCATCACCGCGCCCCATTCTCCTGCTTTCCATCACCCCGCCCCATTCTCCCTCTTTCCATCACCCCGCCCCATTCTCCCTCTTTCCATCACCCCGCCCCATTCTCCCGCTTTCCATCACCCCGCCCCATTCTCCCGATTTCCATCACCCCGCCCCATTCTCCCGCTTTCCATCACCCCGCCCCATTCTCCCGGTTTCCATCACCCCGCCCCATTCTCCCGGTTTCCATCACCCTGCCCCATTCTCTCGCTTTCCATCACTCTGCCCCACTCTACCTCTTTCTATCACCCCGCCCCATTCTCCCTCTTTCCATCACCCCGCCCCATTCTCCCGATTTCCATCACCCCGCCCCATTCTCTCGCCTCTTTCCATCACCCCGCCCCATTCTCCCGCTTTCCATCACTCCGCCCCATTCTCCCGCTTTCCATCACCCCGCCCCATTCTCCCGCTTTCCATCACCCCGCCCCATTCTCCAACTTTCCATCACCCCGCCCCAATCTCCCGCTTTCCATCAACCCGACCCATTCTCCCGCTTTCCATCACCCCGCCCCATTCTCCCTCTTTCGATCACCCGCCCCATTCTCCCGCTTTCCTTCACCCCGCCCCATTCTTTCGCCTCTTTCCATCACCCCGCCCCATTCTCCCGCTTTCCATCACCCCGCCCCATTCTCTTGCTTTCCATCACCCCGCCCCATTCTCCAGCTTTCCATCACCCCGCCCCATTCTCCCTCTTTCCATCACCCTTCCCCATTCTCCCTCTATCCATCACCCCACCCAATTATCCCGCTTTCCATCACCCCGTCCCATTCTACCGCTTTCCATCACCCCGCCCCATTCTTTTGCGTTCCATCACCCCACCCCATCCTCCCCTCTTTCCATCACCCCGCACCATTCTCCCTCTTTCCATCACCCCGCCCCATTCTCCCGCTTTCCATCACCCCGCCCCATTCTCCCTCTTTCAAACACCCCGCCCCATTCTCTCGCTTTCCATCACCCCGCCCAGTTCTCCCGCTTTCCATCACCCCGCCCCATTTTCCCGCTTTCCATCACCCCGCCCCATTCTCCTGCTTTCCATCACCCCGCCCCATTCTCCCTCATTCCATCACCCCGCCCCATTCTCTCACTTTCCATCACCCCGCCCCATTCTCCCGCTTTTCATCACCCCGCCCCATTCTCCCGCTTTCCATCACCCCGTCCCATTCTCCCTCTTTCCATCACCCCGCTCCATTCTCCCGCTTTCCATCACCCCGCCCTATTCTCCCTCTTTCCATCACCCCTCCCTATTCTCCCTCTTTCCATCACCCCGCCCTATTCTCCCGCTTTCCATCACCCCGCCCCATTCTCCCGCTTTCCATCAACCCGCCCCATTCTTCCGCTTTCCATCACCCCGCCCCATTCTCCCGGTTTCCATCACCCGGCCCCATTCTCCCGCTTTCCATCACCCCGCCCCATTCTCCCTCTTTCCATCACCCCGCCCCGTTCTCCCGCTTTCCATCACCCTGCTCCGTTCTCCCGCTTTCCATCACCCCGACCCATTCTCCCCCTTTCCATCAACCCGCCACATTCTCCCGCTTTCCATCACCGCGCCCCATTCTCCCTCTTTCCATCACCCCGCCCCGTTCTCCCGCTTACCATCACCCCGCCCCATTCTCCCGCTTTCCATCACCCCGCCCCATTCTCCCTCTTTCCATCACCCCGCCCCATTCTCCCTGTTTCCATCACCCCGCCCCCTTCTCCCGATTTCCATCACCCCTCCCCATTCTCTCCCGCTTTCCATCACCCCGCCCCATTCTCCCGCTTTCCATCACTCCACCCCATTCTCCCGCTTTTCATCACCCCGCCCCATTCTCCCGCTTTCCATCACCCTGCCCCATTCTCCCGCTTCCCATCACCCCGGCCCATTCTCCCGCTTTCCATCACCCCGCCCCATTCTCCCGCTTTCCATCACCCCGCCCCATTCTCCCTCCTTCCATCACCCCGCCTCATTCTCCCGCTTTCCATCACCCCGCCCCATTCTCCCACTTTCCATCACCCAGCCACATTCTCCCACTTTCCATCAGCCCGCCCCATTCTCCCTCCTTCCATCGCCCTGCCCCATTCTCCCTCCTTCCATCATCCCGCCCCATTCTCGCTCCTTCCATCACCTCGCCCCATTTTCCCGCTTTCTATCAGCCCGCCCCATTCCACCGCTTTCCATCACCCCGCCCCATTCTCTAGCTTTCCATAACCCGCCCCATCCTCCTGCTTCCCATCACCCCGCCCCATTCTCCCGCTTTCCATCACCCCACCCCATTCTCCCGCTTTCCATCACCCCACCCCATATTCCCGCTTTCCATCACCCCGCCCCATTCTCCAGCTTTCCATCAGCCGCCCCATTCTCCCGCTTTCCATCACCCCGCACCATTCTCCCGCTTTTCATTACCTCGCCCTATTCTCCCGATTCCCATCAACCCGCCCCATTCTCCCGCTTTCTATCACCCGTCCCCATTCTCCCTCTTTCCATCACCCCGCCCCATTCTCCCGCTTTCCATCACCCCGCCCCATTCTACCACTTTCCATCACCTCGCCCCTTTCTCCCGCTTTCCATCACCCTGCCCCATTCTCCCGCTTTCCATCAACCTGCCCCATTCTCCCGCTTTCCATCACCCTGCCCGATTCTCCCTCCTTCCATCACCCCACCCCATTCTCCCGCTTTCCATCACCCCGCCTTATTCTCCTGCTCTCCATCACCCCGCACCATTCGCCCGCTTTCCATCACCCCTCCCCATTCTCCTGCTTTCCATCACCCCGCCCCATTCTCCCTCCTTCCATGACCCCGCCCCATTCTCCCTCCATCCATCACCCCACCCTATTCTCCCAATTTCCATCACCCCACCCCATTCTCCCGCTTTCCATCACCCCGCCTTACTCTCCCGCTTTCCATCACCTCGCCCCATTCTCCCGCTTTCCATCACCCCGCCCCATTCTCCGCTTTCCATCAGACGCCCATTCTCCCGCTTTCCATCACCCCGCACCATTCTCCCGCTTTTCATTACCTCGCCCCATTTTCCCGCTTCCCATCATCTCGCCCCATTCTCCCGCTTTTCATCACCCTGCCCCATTCTCCCTCCTTCCATCACCCCACCCCATTCTCCCGCTTTCCATCACCTCGCCCCATTCTCCCGCTTTCCATCACCCCGACCCATTCTCCCGCTTTCTATCACCCCGCCCCATTCTCCTGCTTTCCATCACCTGCCCCATTCTCCCGCTTTCCATCACCCCACCCCAGTCTCCCGCTTTCCATCACCCCGCCCTATTCTCCCGCTTTCCATCACCCCGCCCCATTCTCCCGCTTTCCATCACCCCACCCCATTCTCCCGCTTTCCATCACCCCGCCCCATTCTCCCGCTTTCCTTCACCCCTCCCCATTCTCCCGCTTTCAATCACCCCGCCCCATTCTCCCGCTTTCAATCACCCCACCCCATTCTCCCGCTTTCCATCACTCCGCCCCATTCTCCCTCCTTCCATCACCCCGCCCCATTCTCCCGCTTTCCATCACCCCGACCCATTCTCCCACTTTCCATCACCCCGCCCAATTCTCTCGATTTCCGTCACCCTGCCCCATTCTCCCTCTTTTCGTCACCCCGCCCCATTCTCCCGCTTTCCATCATCCAGCCCCATTCCCCCGCTTTCCATCACCCCGCCCTATTCTCCCTCTTTCCATCACCCCGCCCCATTCTCCCTCCTTCTATCACCCCGCCCCATTCTACCGCTTTCCATCACCCCACCACATTCTTCCACTTTCCATCACCCCGCCCCATTCTCCCTCCTTCCATCACCCCGCCCCATTCCCCCGCTTTCCATCACCCCGCCCCATTCTCCCGCATTCCATCACCCCGCCCCATTCTCCCTCCTTCCATAACCCTGCCCCATTCTCCCGCTTTCCATCACCCCACCCCATTCTTCCGCATTCCATCACCCCGCCCCATTCTCCCGCTTTCCATCACCTCGCCCCATTCTCCCGCATTCCATCACCCCGCCCCATTCTCCCGGTTTCCATCACCCCGCCCCCTTCTCCCTCCTTCCATCACCCTGCCCCATTCTCCCTCCTTCCATCACCCCGCCCCTTTCTCCCGCTTTCCATCAGCCTGCCCCATTCTCCCGCTTTCCATCACCCCGCCCCATTCTCCCGCGTTCCATCTCCCCGCCCCATTCTCCCGGTTTCCATAACCCCGCCCCCTTCTCCCTCCTTCCATCACCCCGCCCCATTCTCCCTCCTTCCATCATCCCGCCCCTTTCTCCCGCTTTCCATCAGCCCGCCCCATTCTCCCGCTTTCCATCACCCAGCCCCATTCTCCCGCTCTCCATCACCCCGCCCCGTTCTCCCGCTTTCCATAACCCCGCCCCATTCTCAAGCTTTCCATCACCCCGCCCCATTCACCCGCTTTCCATCACCCCGCCCCATTCCGCTCCTCTCCGTCACCCCGCCCCATTCTCCCGCTTTCCATCACCTCGCCCCATTCTCACGCTCTCCATCACCCCGCCCAATTCACCCGCTTTCCATCACCCCGCCCCATTCTCACGCTTTCCATCACCCCACCCCACTCCCGCTTTCCATCACCCCGCCCCATTCTCCCGCTTTCCATCACCCAGCCCCATTCTCCCGCTCTCCATCACCCCGCCCCGTTCTCCCGCTTTCCATAACCCCGCCCCATTCTCACGCTTTCCATCACCCCGCCCCATTCACCCGCTTTCCATCACCCCGCCCCATTCCGCTCCTCTCCGTCACCCCGCCCCATTCTCCCGCTTTCCATCACCTCGCCCCATTCTCACGCTCTCCATCACCCCGCCCAATTCACCCGCTTTCCATCACCCCGCCCCATTCTCACGCTTTCCATCACCCCACCCCACTCCCGCTTTCCATCACCCCGCCCCATTCTCCCGCTTTCCATCACCTCGCCCCATTCTCACGCTTTCCATCACCCCGCCCCATTCTCCCGCTTTCCATCACCCCGCCCCATTCTCCCTCCTTCCATCACCCCGCCTCATTCTCCCTCCTTCCATCACCCCGCCCCATTCTCCCGCTTTCCATCACCCCGCCCCATTCTCCCGCTTCCCATCACCCCGCCCCATTCTCCCGCTTTCCATCACCCCGCCCCATTCTCCCGCATTCCATCACCCCGCCCCATTCTCCCGCTTTCCATAACCCCGCCCTATTCTCCTGCTTACCATCACCCCGCCATATTCTCCCACTTTCCATCACCCCGCCCCATTCTCCCTCCTTCCATCACCCGCCCCATTCTCCCTCCTTCCATCATCCCACCCCATTCTCCCTCCTTCCATCACCCCGCCCCATTCTCCCGCTTTCCATCACCACGCCTCATTCTCCCGCTTTCCATCACCCCGCCCCATACTCCCGCTTTCCATCACCCCGCCCCATTCTCCCGCTTTCCATCACCCCGCCCCATTCTCCCGCTTTCCATCACCCCGCCCCTTTCTCCCGCTTTCCATCACCCCGCCCCATTCTCTCGCTTTCCATCACCCCGCCCCATTCTCCCGCTTTCCATCACACCGCCCCATTCTCCTGCTTTCCATCACCCCTCTCCGTTCTCCCTCTTTCCATCACCCCGCCCCATTCGCCCTTTTTCCATCACCCCTCCCCATTCTCCCTCTTTCCATCACCCCGCCCCATTCTCCCTCTTTCCATCACCTCGCCCCATCCTCCCTCTTTCCATCACCCCGCACCATTCTCCCGCTTTCCATCACCCCGCACCATTCTCCCGCTTTCCATCACCGCACCCCATTCTACTGCTTTCCATCACCCCGTCCCATTCTCCCGCTTTCCATCACCCCGCCCAATTTTCCCTCTTTCCATCACCCCGACCCATTCTCCCTCTTTCCATCACCCCGCCCCATTCTCCCCCAATCCATCACCCCTACCCATTTTCACTCTTTCCATCACCCCGTCCCATTCTCCCGCTTTCCATCAACCCGCCCCATTCTCCCTCTTTCCATCACCCCGCCCCATTCTCCCTCCTTCCATCACCCCGCCCCATTCCCCCGCTTTCCATCACCCCGCCCCATTCTCCCGCATTCCATCACCCCGCCCCATTCTCCCTCCTTCCATCACCCCGCCCCATTCTCCCGCTTTCCATCACCCCACCCCATTCTTCCGCATTCCATCACCCCGCCCCATTCTCCCGCTTTCCATCACCTCGCCCCATTCTCCCGCATTCCATCACCCCGCCCCATTCTCCCGGTTTCCATCACCCCGCCCCCTTCTCCCTCCTTCCATCACCCTGCCCCATTCTCCCTCCTTCCATCACCCCGCCCCTTTCTCCCGCTTTCAATCAGCCTGCCCCATTCTCCCGCTTTCCATCACCCCGCCCCATTCTCCTGCGTTCCATCTCCCCGCCCCATTCTCCCGGTTTCCATAACCCCGCCCCCTTCTCCCTCCTTCCATCACCCCGCCCCCTTCTCCCTCCTTCCATCACCCCGCCCTATTCTCCCGCTTTCCATCACCCCGCCCCATTCTCCCGCTTCCCATCACCCCGCCCCATTCTCCCGCTTTCCATCACCCCGCCCCATTCTCCCGCATTCCATCACCCCGCCCCATTCTCCCGCTTTCCATAACCCCGCCCCATTCTCCTGCTTACCATCACCCCGCCATATTCTCCCACTTTCCATCACCCCGCCCCATTCTCCCTCCTTCCATCACCCGCCCCATTCTCCCTCCTTCCATCATCCCACCCCATTCTCCCTCCTTCCATCACCCCGCCCCATTCTCCCGCTTTCCATCACCACGCCTCATTCTCCCGCTTTCCATCACCCCGCCCCATACTCCCGCTTTCCATCACCCCGCCCCATTCTCCCGCTTTCCATCACCCCGCCCCATTCTCCCGCTTTCCATCACCCCGCCCCTTTCTCCCGCTTTCCATCACCCCGCCCCATTCTCTCGCTTTCCATCACCCCGCCCCATTCTCCCGCTTTCCATCACACCGCCCCATTCTCCTGCTTTCCATCACCCCTCTCCGTTCTCCCTCTTTCCATCACCACGCCCCATTCGCCCTCTTTCCATCACCCCTCCCCATTCTCCCTCTTTCCATCACCCTGCCCCATTCTCCCTCTTTCCATCACCTCGCCCCATCCTCCCTCTTTCCATCACCCCGCACCATTCTCCCGCTTTCCATCACCCCGCACCATTCTCCCGCTTTCCATCACCGCGCCCCATTCTACTGCTTTCCATCACCCCGTCCCATTCTCCCGCTTTCCATCACCCCGCCCAATTTTCCCTCTTTCCATCACCCCGACCCATTCTCCCTCTTTCCATCACCCCGCCCCATTCTCCCCCAATCCATCACCCCTCCCCATTTTCACTCTTTCCATCTCCCCGTCCCATTCTCCCGCTTTCCATCAACCCGCCCCATTCTCCCTCTTTCCATCACCCCGCCCCATTCTCCCTCCTTCCATCACCCCGCCCCATTCCCCCGCTTTCCATCACCCCGCCCCATTCTCCCGCATTCCATCACCCCGCCCCATTCTCCCTCCTTCCATCACCCCGCCCCATTCTCCCGCTTTCCATCACCCCACCCCATTCTTCCGCATTCCATCAACCCGCCCCATTCTCCCGCTTTCCATCACCTCGCCCCATTCTCCCGCATTCCATCACCCCGCCCCATTCTCCCGGTTTCCATCACCCCGCCCCCTTCTCCCTCCTTCCATCACCCTGCCCCATTCTCCCTCCTTCCATCACCCCGCCCCTTTCTCCCGCTTTCCATCAGCCTGCCCCATTCTCCCGCTTTCCATCACCCCGCCCCATTCTCTTGCGTTCCATCTCCCCGCCCCATTCTCCCGGTTTCCATAACCCCGCCCCCTTCTCCCTCCTTCCATCACCCCGCCCCATTCTCCCTCCTTCCATCATCCCGCCCCTTTCTCCCGCTTTCCATCAGCCCGCCCCATTCTCCCGCTTTCCATCACCCAGCCCCATTCTCCCGCTCTCCATCACCCCGCCCCGTTCTCCCGCTTTCCATAACCCCGCCCCATTCTCACGCTTTCCATCACCCCGCCCCATTCACCCGCTTTCCATCACCCCGCCCCATTCCGCTCCTCTCCGTCACCCCGCCCCATTCTCCCGCTTTCCATCACCTCGCCCCATTCTCACGCTCTCCATCACCCCGCCCAATTCACCCGCTTTCCATCACCCCGCCCCATTCTCACGCTTTCCATCACCCCACCCCACTCCCGCTTTCCATCACCCCGCCCCATTCTCCCGCTTTCCATCACCTCGCCCCATTCTCACGCTTTCCATCACCCCGCCCCATTCTCCCGCTTTCCATCACCCCGCCCCATTCTCCCTCCTTCCATCACCCCGCCTCATTCTCCCTCCTTCCATCACCCCGCCCCATTCTCCCGCTTTCCATCACCCCGCCCCATTCTCCCGCTTCCCATCACCCCGCCCCATTCTCCCGCTTTCCATCACCCCGCCCCATTCTCCCGCATTCCATCACCCCGCCCCATTCTCCCGCTTTCCATAACCCTGCCCCATTCTCCTGCTTTCCATCACCCCGCCATATTCTCCCACTTTCCATCACCCCGCCCCATTCTCCCTCCTTCCATCACCCGCCCCATTCTCCCTCCTTCCATCACCCCACCCCATTCTCCCTCTTTCCATCACCCCGCCCCATTCTCCCGCTTTCCATCACCACGCCTCATTCTCCCGCTTTCCATCACCCCGCCCCATACTCCCGCTTTCCATCACCCCGCCCCATTCTCCCGCGTTCCATCACCCCGCCCCATTCTCCCGCTTTCCATCACCCCGCCCCTTTCTCCCGCTTTCCATCACCCCGCCCCATTCTCTCGCTTTCCATCACCCCGCCCCATTCTCCCGCTTTCCATCACACCGCCCCATTCTCCTGCTTTCCATCACCCCTCTCCGTTCTCCCTCTTTCCATCACCCCGCCCCATTCGCCCTCTTTCCATCACCCCTCCCCATTCTCCCTCTTTCCATCACCCCCCCCCATTCTCCCTCTTTCCATCACCTCGCCCCATCCTCCCTCTTTCCATCACCCCGCACCATTCTCCCGCTTTCCATCACCCCGCACCATTCTCCCGCTTTCCATCACCGCGCCCCATTCTACTGCTTTCCATCACCCCGTCCCATTCTCCCGCTTTCCATCACCCCGCCCAATTTTCCCTCTTTCCATCACCCCGACCCATTCTCCCTCTTTCCATCACCCCGCCCCATTTTCCCCCAATCCATCACCCCTCCCCATTTTCACTCTTTCCATCACCCCGTCCCATTCTCCCGCTTTCCATCACCCCGCCCCATTCTCCCTTTTTCCATCACCCCGCCCCATTCTCCCCCAATCCATCACCCCGCCCCATTTTCACTCTTTCCATCACCCCGTCCCATTCTCCCGCTTTCCATCACCCCGCCCCATTCTCCCGCTTTCCATCACCCCGCTCCATTCTCCCGCGTTCCAACACCCCACCCAATTCTCCCTCTTTCCATCACCCCTCCCCATTCTCCCTCTTTCCATCACCCAGCCCCATTCTCCCGCGTTCCATCACCCCGCCCCATTCTCCCTCTTTCCATCATCGCGCCCCATTCTCCCTCTTTCCATCACCCCGCCCCATTCTCCCGCTTTCCATCATTCCCGCCCCATGCTCCCGCTTTCCATCACCCCGCCCCATTCTCTCGCTTTCCATCACCACGCCCCATTCTCCCGCTTTCCATCACCCCGCCCCATTCTCCCGCTTTCCATCACTCTGCCCCATTCTCCCGCTTTCCATCACCCCGCCCCATTCTCCCGCTTTCCATCATTCCGCCCCATTCTTCTCCTTCCATCACCCCGCCTCATTCTACCTCCTTCCATCACCCCGCCCCATTCTCCCGCTTTCCATCACCCCGCCCCATTCTCCCGCTTTCCATCACCCCGCCCCATTCTCCCGCTTTCCATCACCACGCCCCATTCTCCCGCTTTCCATCACCCCGCCCCATTCTCCCTCCTTCCATCACCCTGCCCCATTCTCCCGCTTTCCGTCACCCCGCCCCATTCTCCCGCTTTCCATCACCTCGCCCCATTCTTATGCTTTCCATCAACCCGCCCCATTCTCCCGCTTTCAATCACCCCGCCCCATTCACTCGCATTCCATAACCCGCCCCATTCTCCCGCTTTCCATCACCCCGCCCCGTTCTCCCGCTTTCCATCTCCCCGCCCCATCCTCCCGCTTTTCATCACCCCGCCCCATTCTCCCGCTTTCCAACATCCCGCCCCGTTCTCCCGCTTTCCATCACCCCGCCCCATTCTCCCGCTTTCCATCACCCCGCCCCATTCTCCCGCTTTCCATCACTCCGCCCCATTCTCCCGCTTTCCATCACCCCGCCCCATTCTCCCGCTTTCCATCAACCCGCCCCATTCTCCCTCCTTCCATCACCCCGCCTCATTCTCCCTCCTTCCATCACCCCGCCCCATTCTCCCGCTTTCCATCACCCCGCCCCATTCTCCTGCTTTCCATCACCCAGCCCCATTCTCGCGCTTTCCATCACCCCGCCCCATTTTCCCGCTTTCCATCACCCTGCCCCAATCTCCTGCTTTCCATCATCCCGCCCCATTCTCCCTCCTTCCATCACCCCGCCCCATTCTCCCGCTTTCCATCACCCCGCCCCATTCTCCCGCTTTCCATAACCCCGCCCCATTCTCCCTCCTTTCATCACCCGCCCCATTCTCCCTCCTTCCATCACCCCGCCCCATTCTCCCTCCTTCCATCGCCCCGCCCCATTCTCCCACTTTCCATCGGCCCGCCCCATTCTCCCGCTTTCCATCACCCCGCCTCATTCTCCCGCTTTCCATCACCCCGCCCCATTCTCCCGCTTTCCATCACCCTGCCCCATTCTCCCGCTTTCCATCAGCCCACCCCATTCTCCCGCTTTCCATCACCCCGCCCCATTCTCCCGCTTTCCATCACCCTGCCCCATTCTCCCTCCTTCCATCACCGCGCCTCATTCTACCTCCTTCCATCACCCCTGTTATAGTCGAAGTAGGCTCCAATGTGCCTAAAACGAAAGATAGAGTGCACAGTCGGATTTCTGCACAGCGGCGTCAAACGTTCATAGCGTTTTGGTCACAGCTTCAAATGACTTGATTCAACTTGGATCTGGAGCGTCTTATTGTCGCCTATAATAGGCAATTTAGATCGCACGATTTGACCAAGTATTGACGACACAGGGTCGGTTTGAACGAACGGCACTATGGCAGCCACTATAGTCTTAGAACACAAGATAGGAAAAGTTAGGAAGAATTACGAGTTGGGAATAACTCCCAGCTCCTACAAACCCCAAGAGCCGAGGTACAGTGATGTGGAACAGTGCCACACTGTCCCCAACCATGAAGGGTCTCGAAACTACCCTTCACTAGGGCCTACACCAAGTGAAATGTTACACTACACAAAGTAATGTAACTATCTTCAATATCTTGAGGTGTACCCTTTTGGCGAGCTTTGAAATCACTTGTGGATTGACACCAAGGCTCGGCTCTTCATCACAAACTCATCCTTGAGTTCTTGATGGGTCTGCTGCACACACCTGCGACACATCGAACGTTCGACACAGGACAAAAGAGAAACCGCGCACGACAAAATTGAAACCGCGCGCGAGACACAAACGACCGCGTAACACGCGTCTAGCCATAACTCGCTATTGACTCGACACATACACTCGACATCATGACTCAACATTCACACACAATTATAAGCATTAAATATATATTATCCCATGCCCTCATGCCATTTCATAGACACACACACATGCACGCACACGGACAACAAGCCGAGTGCAAACCATAGGGTTGCACCAACAAACTCCCCCTCGGATTGTTGGCCTTAGGATATGTTGCTCTGTCAGTTCAGAGCCATCCCAGCCAGCTTGCAACACTTCCAATGCTGCTGCTCCACCAGCCTCTTGGTCATCATGTCAGCCGGCTGCCCCGTGGTCTTCACGTAAGCGCAACTCAACTTCACCCGCGGTTACCATGCTCCTCCTCCAATGCCACTTCACCCTCATGTGCTTCGTGAGTCCATGCAACACAGGGTTCTTAGAAAGAGCAATGGCACCCTGGCTGTCACAATATAGTGGGGTAGGTCCTTGCTGCTCCTCCCCCAATTCAGCCAACAAACGCCGCTGCCACACAATCTCCCGTACGGCACGGAAGAGTGCCATGTACTCGGACTCCACCGAGCTCAAAGCTTGGTCAACCTGCTTCTTGCTCTCCCAAGCAGTTGGGCCTCCACCAACACAGCATATGAAGCCTCCCACACTCTGCCACTACCATCATCAAACCCCTCTGGCTGCGCCATAAAAATCTCCTCCTCAAGGATGCCGTTGAGGAATGCCGTCATAATGTCCATTTGCTTCACCACCCATCCTTTGATGGCGGCTCCCGCGAATAGGGTTCGCAGCGTCCTCGGCTTCACCACAGGGGCAAACAGCTCCTTGAAGTCCACCTTCTCCTTCTGCTGGTACCCCTTGGCTACAAGCCTAGACTTGTAACGCTCGATCTTGCCGTCGGCATCCGACTTGATTTTGAAGAGCCACTTGGACGTTATCGCCGTACGCCCCTCCGGTAGCTCCACCAATTCAAACGTGTCACTCTCCTCGATGCACTTCAGCTCACTCTCCATGGCCTTCTTCCACTCCTCAGCATCACTACTCTCCAAAGCCTCCTTGAGAGTTGCTGGTTCTCCCGGCATCTCCACCGGAGAGAAGAACGCGAAGGCACACTCCTCGTAGTCACTCTCCTCATCGTCTCCGACCATCATTGCCGCTCTGGCCAGGGCTGTCTTGCCTTGCTTTCCAAGTGCATCATAGGTCAGCCTATTAGGGGGTTGAATTCTCCTCTTCCCCCTTCCTTCCTCCTCAGCTGCAGGGACTTGAAGGCCTTGGCGTTGCTGCGGTGTGGCTCGATTCCGTGGAGCACTCGTGGTACGGGAAGGGAGTGACGGTGCACGTTCGCTCACTTGCTGCACCTCCTCCTCTTCTTCCTCTGCATCAGTGGCCTCCTCTCCCCCATTCACAAGGGAGGATTGCCTCGTGGTTGTTTTGCCGCTGCTCAGCTCCAAAGGCAGCTCCACATGCTCCAAACCGGAACTCTTCACCTCCCCAAACCGCACGCCTATCTCCGCCTCATTCTCCGCCTTCCAATCCTTGTACATGAAGTTCTCCATGAACTTGCAGTCCCTGCTCACCAAGAACTTCTTGGTGAATGGGTCCCAAAGAAGCCATCCCTTGCTGTTTTGAGCCATGCCCAAGTGCACGGCCCACACCGCCTTGGCACCAAGCTTGTTGTGCCGAAGATGCTTAGGCACAAGCGCCATGCACATGCACCCGAACACCCGAAGCATATCCACCTTTGGCTTCCTTCCTAGCCACTCCACATAGGGCACCCATTTGTCTGCTCCCACATGATTCAAGGCTCTGTTCTTGGCCACACATGCGCTCCGCACCGCATCAGGCCAGAAATAGTCGGGTAGCCCGGCTTCAATGAGCAACCCGCGTGCAGCCTCCGTGATTGTGCGGTTCGCTCGCTCAGCGATGCCGTTCATTGCAGGGGAGTATGGCATGGTGAGGGAGTGCCGAATACCATTCTTCTTCAGCCACAACCCAAACTCCTTGTTCAGGAACTCTCCCCCTCGATCGGTGCGGATTGACTTGACTAGACGGTCTTGTTGCCGCTCCACCATCGGGAACCAATCCGCCTTCAACGTTTCAGCCACGTCGCTCTTCTTGGCCAGCACGTACACCCAAGTCATACGGGTGTAGACGTCCACAATAGTGAGGAAGTACTCAGCTCCAGCAGCTCCAAGCTTCAGGGGGCCCACCACGTCCATCACCACCTCATCAAGTGGTGCCTTAGCCGTTGCCTCCGAACTAGAGAATGGGAAACGGGTGAACTTGGCTTGCATGCACGTCGGGCAGCCAAGTACCTCATCGGGCTCCCCCTTCACACGTATGCTGCTGCAAGATGGGCAGGGCCACATGCCCCATGCGCCGATGCAAGGTGAGCCAATCACACTCCCCCATAGCCGAAGTTGGATTCGAAAATGCCGCGCTCGCAATAGCGCCCCACATACTCTCTCCGTAGTCCTCCTCCGCTGTTGCCTCGGGGTTCTCCTCAGCCTTTTGCTGCTCCTTGGTTGCTGCACCACTCTCCTTAGGTTCACTAAACTTGCTGGTCCCTCCAAGATTGCACTTCTTGGACTCCTTCTCCTTAGCGCGACCGTCCGCGCAATCGCCGCTACCAACCGCTCCACCTTTAGTGCTGACGCTTGCTGCCACTTGCCTCTCCTTAGGCATTGGGACCACAGGGATCTGCCACATCTCGTTGTAGACATCTCCGTCCTCATGAAGGTCCCAAAGAATCCGATCGCCAAGCCTTGCGGTGTAGGTCTTGGCTCCCTTCGAGTTAGTGTCCATGCCGGCCTTTGCCAACCGCCGCACGGAAATCAGGTTCGCAGCAAGGCTGGGCACCCAAAGCACGTTCTTGAGGCCCACCATCTTCCCATCAGCACCCTTGAACATGGCCTTCCCCATGCCTTTTACCTCTGCTCGCTGCCCCAAAGCCGATGTGACATGCTTCACCGATGACGGTTCAAGTTCGGTGAGCAAGTCCGGGCGAGGTGTCATGCTATAGGTAGCGCCACTGTCGATCACCCAATAGTCCAGGGGGTGTAGGGTCACCTTCCCTACAGCTGCTGGCTCCTCAAGGTCTTCATCCTTCTCTGGACCAGCCGGTACTTGCGTCGACACGAAGTAGAATAGGCCCGGGTACCGATCGCCGCTCGGGTCCTTGTCGTTATCTTCGCTCTTCACATTTGCAGCACCGCCACGGCCTCCACGGCCTCTTCCTCTCCCTCCTCCTGCTCCTTTACCCTCTTGGCCTTGAGCAGGGGTCCATCCTTCAGGGAGTTTGAAGCAATCGCGCCACATATGTCCGCTCTTGCCGCAATAATGACATTCGCCGTCGAATCGACCGCGACCGCGTCCGTAGCTCTTGTCGTCGCTGCCGTAACTGCCGTTCCCGCGGCCTCCACTGAAGTTGCCGCCACCAGATCTTCCTCCCCCTCGTCCTCTGCCTCTTCCTCGGCCATATCCACGGCCGACGCTAGCTGCCCCAGCGCCATCCGCACTCGCCAACTCACGGCGGCGGAAGTCCTCTTGTAGGATCGCGCGCTTCACGCCTTCAAGCGAGAGACGGGGCAGGTCACGGTTCAAATTGATGATGAGCGAGGACCACGACTCGGTGAGTAAGGCCAGCAACTTGGTCTTCTTCTGGAGCTCACTGTAGTTCTAATCAGCTCCCTCTAGCCGCGTTAACAAGTCGAAGAATCTCTGCACCCCGTCTTCCACGGGTTCATCTTCCTCAATTCGTGGCGTCGCCATTTGCCGTTCCAACACCACAGCTACCGCCGCTGTTGCAGGAGCGTGTACACCCTTGAGAGCAGCCCATGCCTTTTGTCCTTTCTCTGGTTCATGCTGGAAAGGCTTGATGTGACGGATCTGGTTGCTCCCCGACGCTTGCCCAAGTAGAAGATAGCCTTGTGCGCTCTTCCGCACCCACAGGCTCTTCTCCGGGTCGTTCTCGGGACGCTTCTCCGTTCCTTCCATCACCTCCAGCAGGTCATAATGGTCGAACACGTTCTCCATTCTGAAGGACCATTCAGCAAAGTTGTCGCCGTTGAACTTGTCAAGTCCGAACGCTCTTGGTTCATCCCTAGAAGGTCCAAGAGTAGGTTGCACGGGCGCCACGGCTGAATCACGGGCTTGGCCTTGTGCTTGGGCATCTCCATTGCCACCAGCACCTCTGCCACCCCTTTCTCCAGGTCCAGTCATAGTCGTAGCTGCTCCAAGGGGCTCTGATACCACTTGTTATAGTCACAGTAGGCTTCAATGTGCCTAAAACTAAGGATAGAGTGCACAGTCGGATTTCTGCACAGCGGCTTTAAACGTTCATAGCGATCTGCTCACAACTCCAAATGACTTCATTCAACTTGGATCTGGAGCTCCCTAACGTCGCCTACAATAAGCAATTTAGATCGCACGATATCATCAAGATTTGACGACACAGCGACGGTTTGAACGAACAGCACTATGGCAGCAACATAGTCTTAGAAGCAACTTAGGAAGAGTTAGCAAGAGTTACGAGTTGGGAATGACTCCCAGCTCCTACAAACCCCAAGAGCCGAGGTACAGTGATGTGGAACAGTGCCACACTGTCCCCAACCACGAAGGATCTCGAAACTACCCTTCACTAGGGTCTACACCAACTGAAATGTTACACTACACGTTGTAATGTAACGAATCTTGATATCTTGAGGTGTACCCTTTTCGCGGACTTCGCGAACACTTGAATGTTGACACCAGGGCTCGGGTTCTTCATCACAAACTCATCCTTGAGTTCTTGATGGGTCTGCTGCACACACCTGCGACACGCCGAACGTTCGACAAGCGACAAAATAGAAACTGCGCACGACAAAATAGAAACCGCGCGGGACACACAAAATGACCGCGTTACACGCGACTAGCGATAACTCGCTATTGACTTGACACACACTCAATATCATGACCCATCATACACACACTATTGTAAGCATGAAATATATATTATCCCATGCCCTCATACCATTCCATGCACACACGCATGCACGCACACGGACAACAAGCCGAGTGCAAACCGTAGGTTGCACCAACAATTCTCCCGCTTTCCATCACCCCGCTCCATTGTCCCGCTTTCCACTACCCCGCCCAATTCTCCCTCTTTCCATCACCCCTCCCCATTCTCCCTCTTTCCATCACCCGGCCCCATTCTCCCGCTTTCCATCACCCCGGCCCCATTCTCCCTCTTTCCATCACCCCGCCCCATTCTCCCGCTTTCTATCACCCCGCCCCATTTTCCCGCTTTCCATCACCCCTTTCCATTCTCCTGCTTTCCATCACCCCGCCCCATTCTCCCGCTTTCCATCATCCCGCCCCATTCTCCCTCTTTCCATCACCCCGCCCCATTCTCCCGCTTTCCATCACCCCGCCCCATTCTTCCGCTTTCCATCATCCCGCCCCATTCTCCCGCTTTCCATCACCCCGCCCCATTCTCCCGCTTTGCATCACCCCGCCCCATTCTCCCGCTTTCCATCACCCCACCCCATTCTTCCGCTTTCCATCACCCCTCCCCATTCTCCCTCTTTCCATCACCCCGCCCCATTCTCCTGCTTTCCATCACCCCGCCCAATTCTCCCGCTTTCCATCACCCCGCCCCATTCTCCCTCTTTCCATCACCCCGCCCCATTCTCCCGCTTTCCATCTCCCCACCCCATTCTCCTGCTTTCCATCACCCCGTCCCATTCTCCCGCCTCTTTCCATCACCCCGCCCCATTCTCCCGCTTTCCATCACCGCGCCCCATTCTCCCGCTTTCCATCACCCCGCCCCCATTCTCCCGCTTCCCATCACCCTGCCCCCGTTCTCCCACTTTCCATCACCCCGCCCCATTCTCCCGCTTTCCATCACCGCGCCCCATTCTCCTGCTTTCCATCACCCCGCCCCATTCTCCTCTTTCCATCACCCGCCCATTCTCCCTCTTTCCATCACCCTGCCCCATTCTCCCGCTTTCCATCACCCCGCCCCATTCTCCCTGCTCTCCATCACCCCGCCCCATTCTCCCGCTTTCCATCACCCCGCCCCATTCTCCCGGTTTCCATCACCCCGCCCCATTCTCCCGGTTTCCATCACCCTGCCCCATTCTCTCGCTTTCCATCACTCTGCCCCATTCTACCTCTTTCTATCACCCCACCCCATTTTCCCTCTTTCCATGACCCCGCCCCATTCTCCCGATTTCCATCACCCCACCCCATTCTCTCACCTCTTTCCATCACCCCGCCCCATTCTCCCGCTTTCCATCACTCCGCCCCATTCTCCCGCTTTCCATCACCCCGCCCCATTCTCCCGCTTTCCATCACCCCGCCCCATTCTCCAACTTTCCATCACCCCGCCCCATTCTCCCGCTTTCCATCAACCCGACCCATTCTCCCGCTTTCCATCACCCCGCCCCATTCTCCCTCTTTCGATCACCCGCCCCATTCTCCCGCTTTCCTTCACCCCGCCCCATTCTTTTGCCTCTTTCCATCACCCCGCCCCATTCTCCCGCTTTCCATCACCCCGCCCCATTCTCCCGCTTTCCATCACCCCGCCCCATTCTCCAGCTTTCCATCACCCCGCCCCATTCTCCCTCTTTCCATCACCCTTCCCCATTCTCCCTCTATCCATCACCCCACCCAATTCTGCCGCTTTCCATCACCCCGTCCCATTCTCCCGCTTTCCATCACCTTGCCCCATTCTTTTGCGTTCCATCACCCCACCCCATCCTCCCCTCTTTCCATCATCCCGCCCCATTCTCCCGATTTCTATCACCCCGCCCCATTCTCCCTCTTTCCATCACCCCGCCCCATTCTCCCACTTTCCATCACCCCGCCCCATTCTCCCTCTTTCAATCATCCCGCCCCATTCTCTCGCTTTCCATCACCCCGCCCCGTTCTCCCGCTTTCCATCACCCCGCCACCTTTTCCCGCTTTCCATCACCCCGCCCCATTCTCCTGCTTTCCATCACCCCGCCCCATTCTCCCTCATTCCATCACCCCGCCCCATTCTCTCGCTTTCCATCACCCCGCCCCATTCTCCCGCTTTTCATCACCCCGCCCCATTCTCCCGCTTTCCATCACCCCGTCCCATTCTCCCTCTTTCCATCACCCCGCTCCATTCTCCCGCTTTCCATCACCCCGCCCTATTCTCCCTCTTTCCATCACCCCTCCCTATTCTCCCTCTTTCCATCACCCCGCCCTATTCTCCCGCTTTCCATCACCCCGCCCCATTCTCCCGCTTTCCATCACCCCGCCCCATTCTCCCGCTTTCCATCACCCCGCCCCATTCTCCCACTTTGCATCACTTCGCCCAATTCTCCCGCTTTCCATCACCCCGCCCCATTCTCCCGCTTTCCATCACCCCTCCCCATTCTCCCTCTTTCCATCACCCCGCCCCATTCTCCTGCTTCCCATCACCCCGCCCCATTCTCCCGCTTTCCATCACCCCGCCCCATTCTCCCTCTTTCCATCACCCCGCCCCATTCTCCCGCTTTCCATCTCCCCACCCCATTCTCCTGCTTTCCATCACCCCGTCCCATTCTCCCGCCTCTTTCCATCACCCCGCCCCATTCTCCCGCTTTCCATCACCGCGCCCCATTCTCCCGCTTTCCATCACCCCGCCCCCATTCTCCCGCTTCCCATCACCCCGCCCCGTTCTCCCACTTTTCATCACCCCGCCCCATTCTCTCGCCTCTTTTCCATCACCCCGCCCCCATTCTCCCGCTTTCCATCACTCCGCCCCATTCTCCCGCTTTCCATCACCCCGCCCCATTCTCCCGCTTTCCATCACCCCGCCCCATTCTCCAACTTTCCATCACCCCGCCCCATTCTCCCGCTTTCCATCAACCCGACCCATTCTCCCGCTTTCCATCACCCCGCCCCATTCTCCCTCTTTCGATCACCCGCCCCATTCTCCCGCTTTCCTTCACCCCGCCCCATTCTTTTCGCCTCTTTCCATCACCCGCCCCATTCTCCCGCTTTCCATCACCCCGCCCCATTCTCCCGCTTTCCATCACCCCGCCCCATTCTCCCTCCTTCCATCACCCCGCCCATTCTCCCGCTTTCCATCACCCCGCCCCATTCTCCCTCCTTCCATCACCCTGCCCAATTCTCCATCCTCCATCACCCTGCCCCATTCTCCCGCTTTCATCACCCGCCCCATTCTCCCTCTTTCTATCACCCCGCCCAATTCTCCGCTTTCCATCACCCCGCCCCATTCCCCTGCTTTCCATCACCCCGCCCATTCTCCCGCTTTCCATCACCCCGCCCGTTCTCACGCTTTCGCACACCCGCCCAATTCTCCCGCTTTCCATCACCCCGCCCCATTCTCCTGCTTTCCATCACCCCGCCCCATTCTCCCTCTTTCCATCACCCCCGCCCCATTCTCCCTCCTTCCATCACCCCGCCCAATTCTCCGCTTCCCATAACCCCAGCCCCATCTCCCCCTTTCCATCACCCGCCACATTCTCCACTTTCCATCACCCTGCCCCATTCTCCCTCCTTCCATCACCCCGCCCCATTCTCCCTCCTTCCATCACCCCGCCCCATTCTCCCGCTTTCCATCTCCCCGCCCCATTCTCCCGCTTTTCATCACCCCGCCCCATTCTCCCGCTTTCCATCACCCCGTCCCATCTCCCTCTTTCCATCACCCCGCTCCATTCTCCCGCTTTCCATCACCCCGCCCTATTCTCCCGCTTTCCATCACCCGCCCTATTCTCCCGCTTTCCATCACCCCGCCCCATTCTCCCTCCTTCCATCACCCCCCCCCCATTCTCCCGCTTTCCATCACCTCGCCCCCATTCTCCCGCTTTCCATCACCCCGCCCCGTTTTCCCGCTTTCCATCACCCTGCCCTATTCTCCCGCTTTCCATCACCCCGCCCCATTCTCCCGCTTTCCATCACCCCGCCCAATTCTCCCGCTTTCCATCACCCCCGCCCCATTCCCCTGCTTTCCATCACCCCGCCCCATTCTCCCGCTTTCCATCACCCCGCCCCGTTCTCACGCTTTCCATCACCCCGCCCAATTCTCCCGCTTTCCATCAGCCCGCCCCATTCTCCTGCTTTCCATCACCCCGCCCCATTCTCCCTCTTTCCATCACCCTGCCCCATTCTCCCTCCTTCCATCACCCCGCCCAATTCTGCGCTTCCCATAACCCCAGCCCCATCTCCCGCTTTCCATCACCCCGCCACATTCTCCCACTTTTCCATCACCCCGCCCCATTCTCCCTCCTTCCATCACCCCGCCCCATTCTCCCTCCTTCCATCACCCCGCCCCATTCTCCCGCTTTCCATCTCCCCGCCCCATTCTCCCGCTTTCCATCACCCTGCCCCATTCTCCCGCTTTCCATCACCCCGCCCCATTCTTCCGCTTCCCATCATCCCGCCCCATTCCCCCGCTTTCCATCACCCCTCCCATTCTCCCACTTTCCATCACCCCGCCCCATTCTTCTGCTTTCCATCACCCCCTGCCCCATTCTCGCGCTTTCCATCACCCCACACCATTCACCCGCCTTTCCATCACCCGCCCCATCTCCCGCTTTCCATCACCCCGCCCCATTCTCCCGCTCTCCATCAACCCGCCCCAATCTCCCGCTTTTCATCACCCCGCCCCATTCTCCCGCTTTCCAACACCCCTCTGTCAGAACATTATAGCTTACTTATTTGTGTAGGCTATAGTGGGGTATCCCATAGGGGGTACAACCCAGCTAGGGTTTCCTATTTGTACTCACTTCGTTCATAGTTCACACATTCTCTCGTTCACTTCTTCACATGGAATCAGAGCAGGTTCCCCTGTGGGAACTGTGCTTCGGGCCCACCACCTAGAACTTTTTTTTCTGCCCTGGCGCCCGCCCTAGTGCCCGCCCTAGCGCCCCGCCCCTAGCGCCCGCCCTTTCGAGCCGCCCGTTCGCGCCGCCCGTTAGCGCCGCCCGTTAGCGCCGCCCGTGCGGCTGCCCCTTCGCGCCGCCCTTTGCGCAGCCCGTAGCGCCGCCACGTGCGGCCGCCCGTTAGCGCCGCCGGTGCGGCCGCCCGTAGCGCCCCCCGTGAAGCCGCCGCCCGTAGCGGCCGCCCGTGAGCCGCCGCCTGTCGCCACCCTTTAGCGCCGCCCGTGAGCGCCGCCGTGACGCGCCGCCCGGTGAACCGCCGCCCGTGACGCCGCCGCCTGTGACGCCGCCGCCCGTCCCGTCCGCCCCCCCCCCCACCCGTGACGCCGCCGCCCCGTCCCGCCGCCCGCCCGTCAACGCCCGCCGCCCGTGAGCCGGCGCTGCCCGCGAACCGCCCACCCGTGGCCTTCAGCCCGCCCGTGAGCTGCCGACGCCGCCCGTGAGCAGCCGACGCCGCCGCCGCCACCCGTGAGCCGCCGACGCCGCGACGACGCCGCCCGTGAGCCGCCGATGCCGCTGCCGCTGCCGTCGCCCGTGAGCCGCCGACGCCGCCCGCCGCCGCCCGTGAGCCGCCGTCGCCCCGTGAGCCGCCGACGCCACCGCCGCCGCACGTGAGCCGCCCTGGCCGCCCGCCCAGCCGCCCGTGAGCTCCCCGCGCGCCGTTCCCAGCCGCCCGGTGAGCCGCCACCGAGCCGCCCCAGCCGCCCCGTGCCCGCCGCCCGAGCCGCCTGAGCCGCCCGAGCCGCCCGGGCCGCCCGCGCCGCCCTAGCCACTCCGAGCCGCCCGAGCCGCCCTAGTCGCCCGAGCCCGCCCGTGCCGCCCAAGCCGCCCGAGCCGCCCGAGCTGCCCGAGCCGCCAGAGGAGCTGCTCTCCTGACTCTGTCGGGCTACTGCTGCTCCTGGGCTGTGTACCTGGCGCCGCTGACCTACCCGACTCTTCCTGCCCGGTGAGACTGTCAGCTGCTGTCATGGCCACCCCCCAATGTCCTAGCTTTTGACACTGAGGGTAGAGCCATTGACTTTGCAGTCTGGATTGAGGACCTGCAGCTGTACTTACTGTGTGATGCGGTCGATGAGGTCTCTCTCTTTGACTTTCTCTCTGGCGCTGTCCCTGCCCCTCCTCCTGATGCTGATTCCGCCGTTCGCTCCAAGTGGGCGACCCGCGATGCTGCTGCACGTCTTGCTGTGCGTCGCCACCTCCCTTCCTCCGAGCGTGCCCACTTTAGTCAGTGCAAGACCGCTCAGGCCTTGTACGACGCTGTAGTTGCACGCTACTCCTCCCCTTCCTCCGCTACGCTGAGCCGCCTCATGCTACCTTTCTCTCTTCCCTGACCTCGCTGCCTTTCCCACTGTCGCTGACCTCATTACCCACCTCCGCGCTAGTGACGCTCGCTACCGCGCTGCCCTTCCTGCTGAGTTCCGCGCCGCCAACCCTCCTCCCATCTACATCACTCTCTACTTTCTTGTCACCCGTCTCCTGAGTCCCTCCGTGTCGTTAGGGACCAGTTTCTCTCTGTCTGTCCCACCACCCTCACTGTCGACCTCCTTGAGGAGTCCTGCTAGCGGCTGAGAAGAGCATAGTCGCTGTAGGGGCCTCTCGGGGTGACCCTCGCACCCCATCTTTGAGGGGGTGTTCTCCTTCCCCCTGCTGCCCTCTGTCGCCTCTGCCGCTGCGGCCGACCTCACTGGTTTGAGTCGGTCGGTGCGGCGTCTGCCCCCAGCGGTAGACGCCGCTCTGGCAAGGCCAGGGGGGCAAGGGAGCGGGTGGAGCTAGAGGGGGCAGTGGCGGAGGAGGTGGGGGTGGCGGGGGGAGGGGGGGTGGCGGTGGAGGTGGTGGCGGGAGTGGAGGTACTGGTGGAGGCGGTGGAGGCGGAGGTGGCGGCGGGGGCGGTAGCGGAGGAGGCGGGGGCGAGGGTACCAGTGGGGGCGGTGGCGGTGGAGACGTAGGCGGTGGTGGAGGGGGAGTGTCGGTGGCGGCGAGGGTCGGAGTGTCTCGTCCAGCGCAGCAGCTCTGGGGGGTGGTCAGCGCCAGCAGCAACAGCAGCAGCAGAAGCAGCAGCCGCAGCAACGCTCTCGCACCGTCCCCGCCCCTCAGCAGCTCCGTGAGTGGTACTTGCAGCGTCAGCGTGGTGGTGCGTTTGGTCCTGCCCCTACGTCTTCCGCACGGCGACCGTGCGGGGGAGAGGTGTGGAGGCACCCACACGGCCCGCCGCTGCTTTGGCCGCCTGACCGACGCTTGGCGTCAGCAGTTTCGGAGGCCGCTGAGATCCCCCGGGGGGGGGAGTGTCTAGGGCTGGTGTAGCCATTTATGATCTTGACTTTGATGCTATTCTTCTGCTATGTATGTTGTGACTGGTAGTGATGAGGATGACTGTTACCGGTGTTTCCCGCCCGACCCGGGCATTGGTACTGCTGCGTCAGTACTAGTGAGGCTGCTGCTCTAGGTGCCAGTGCGTCTGAGCTCTCAGGTACTGGTGAGTCTGCCCTCTCAGTTACTGTGTCGGCTTCGGCCTCTCACACCTTCACACTTGACTCTGGAGCGTCTCGCTCCTTCTTTCGGGACCGCACTACTCTCACGCCGTGAGTCGGCCGGTTGCGGTGTCCATGGCTGACCCTCTGGGGGGCCTGTCCTGTCTCGCTTCTCACGGTACTTCAGTGTCCGGCGGCCCCCTCTGGCACCCTGTCTGGTCTCTACCTCCCCTCGTTCTCGACGAAACCTGGTGAGTGGTGCTGACCTACAGGATGCGGGTGTCCACCAGTTCACTCCTGCTCGTCAGCGGGTGACCCAGCACGGAGGCTAGCACGGGACGTCACCTGGCTACGTTTACACGTCGGCCAGGGTCGAGCCTGTACACACTGACCAATGCTTTCTCCTCCCAGGTACTGAGTCTGGTACGGTCCCTTCGTCTTGTCAGGTGTTTGCAGCAGCGTCCAGGTCTGGTCCTGAGTCTTCCCCCTGTTCGTGTCGTCGTCTGTCTCACGAGACCCTCCTCTGGCACCACCGCCTTGGCCACCCCTCTCTGCTTCGGCTCAGAGGCATGGCCTCCCGTCTTCTTGTGTCTGGTCTCCCACGGTGCTACCTCCCCTCCTCAGGGCCCTGGCCTGCCTGTGTCCCCTATGTCGAGGGGCGCCAGCGTGCTGCCCCTCACTCCTCCAGTTTCCTCCGACAGAGGCCCCGCTGCAGACACTTCCACATGGACGTGTGGGGGCCGGCCCGCGTCCTTGGACAGGGTCACGAGCGCTACTTCCTGCTAGTTGTTGACGACTACTCGCGTTACACCACAGTCTTCCTTGCGCAGCAGGGTGAGGTTACTGAGGTGCTGATCGACTGGATCCGCGCAGCTCGTCTTCAGCTCAGGCAGAGCTTTGGCTCGGATTTCCTGTGTTGCGTCTGCACTCTGACAGAGGCGGAGAGTTCTACCTGTGGCCTTCTTCGGCCTACTGTGAGCGCGAGGCATCCGCCAGTCCTTCACGCTTCCGGACTCCCAACAGCAAAATGGGATTGCTGAGCGCCGCATG